TGAGATGAAAAAGAAGGAGGTGAATCTATATGTACCGATGTGAATAGATCTTATGGTAAATTAAGTGAAATAAGTGTATCATGGTGCATTTAGCATGCTGCCACTTGTACAAGTAAGAACTGTCAGTTTTTTAAAAGGCCAGGAGAAGAAGAACAGAGGACAAATAGAAAACAAATTGTAAAATGGTGGACTGAATCCCAACTGGAACTATAACTACCCGGGTGGAAATGAGAGAAACACTCCCACTCAAAGCAAAGATGAACAGATTGGATTTAAAAAGTAAGGTCGTACTACACACTGTCTGTAAAACCCTCTTTAAATAACATGCTATATATAGATTACAAGGAACACCAACTGGGTGGTTAAAAATAACAGATTTATTCTTCCAGCTCTGGAGGCCAGGCATTTGAGATCAGGGCATCGGCAGGCTTGTTTCTTCTGGGGACCCTGAGGGAGAAACCCCTGCCCGTGCCTCTCCTAGCTTCCAGTGGTTGCCTACAATCCCTGATGTTTCTTGGCCTCTGGACTCACCACTTCCTCGATCTCCATCCTCACATGGCATTCTCTTCTGTTTCCGTCCGAAAACAGACCTCTCATGACATTTCCTACCTCTCATAAGGACCCATGACATTGCATTAGGGCCCACTCTAACCCAGTGTGGACCTCACTCAACTTGATGATGTCTGTAAGACCCTTTTCCCAGATAAGGTCACATTCACGGGTACCGGGAGCTGAGACTTGGGCTTGCCTTTTCAGGGGACACAATCGGATCTGTGATGCTCTGCAAACATAAATCAAAAGCGAGCTGGAAGCTACTATATTAGTATCTGACACACAATAGACTCCAGGCCAAAACATATCAGCAGGAATAAAAATCGTAGAGGAGGACAAGTCATCAACAAAGGCAAAGCAACCCTCATGTGTCTGCACCTGCTCCAGAACTCGGCATCACGTGAAGGAAGGGACAAGACAAAGGAGAAACAGACAAATCCTGCACTAGAATCGGACGTTTCAACATCTCTCTGAGCGATGGTAGAACCAGCACAGAAGCGCAGAATGAGCAATGCCATCCACCCACTTGACCTGATGTATACTAACCACTGCACCTGTATGCTCCACGTGCTCGAGGAACATTTACCAAGCAGACCACACTGTGGCCATAAAACATAGCTCTCGCTTTAAAAAGGATTGAAATCATACAAAGCATGGTCTCTGGCGACCAATTAAGTACACAAGGAACTAATTTTGGAAACATCTGGAAAATCCTCAAATATTTGGAAATCCATGACACGTTTCCAAACAAACCTTGGGTCTGAGAAAAAAATCATGATAGAAACTAGAAATCATTTTCAGGGGTGCCTGGGTGGCTTGGTCGTTTAAGCATCCGACTCTTGGTTTCAGCTCAGGTCATGATCTCAAGGTTTGTGAGTTTAAGCCCTGTGTTGGGCTCTGTGCTGACAGTGCAGAGCCTCCCTGGGACTCTCTCTCCCTCTCCCGCTGCCCCTCTGATGTCTTTCTCTCTCAAAATAAATAAATAAACAAAAAACCCCACCATTTTCAGCAGACAACGTAACATAATCATGTGGGATGTGACTAAAGCAGTGCGTGGAGGGAGAACTACCACCTTCAAACCAGATGTTGAAATTCAGACCCTGGGTCCCTCCCAGGACATGGTTCCTACACCCTCTCAGTGAACACTGGAAGCACAGATTATAAGCACAGATCACTGCTTACACTGCGATTTCATAAGGGTCACAAAAAGTTGCTTCTATAAAATTTTTTTAATGTTCGTTTATTTTTGAGAGAGAGAGATGGATCATGAGTGAGGGAGAGGTGGAGAGAAAGGGAGACACAGAATCCAAAGCAGGCACCAGGCTCCAAGCAGTCAGCACAGAGCCCAATGCGGGGCTTGAACCCACAAACCGTGAGCTCATGACCTGAGCTGAAGTCTGATGCTTAACTGACTGTGCCACCCACACACCCCTCAAAAGGTTGCTTCTTTACTTTTGGTGATCCTTTTGCATTTATTAGCTAAAGTTCTTCCCTATAAAATCAACCATTTACCTTGAAATATGAGGTAAAAAAAGAAAGGCAAGGGTAATTATTTTTTGCTTGAGCCTTTGATTTATTTTCAGAGTAATGACACAATGCTTACCAGTATCCACCTGTGATTATACAGTTTTCTATGCTTTTGAGGCTCAAGTGATTCCAAAGGGGGACTCTTAAAGCTGCCTCCTGAGTCCTCCTCATCCCTAATAACTTACTATAAAATTTTCAAACATATAGAGGAGTTGAAAGAACTTTGCAGTGAATAGTCACAAACCTACCACCAAATTCTATAGCGAACATTTTTCTTTGATTAACATCACCAACGCTGCTTACCTTCCTCAGAGCCTGCTTTCATTGCACTTCATGTGTTTCCTTCTAGGCCTTTCTCTATGTACGGTACGTACTTGCCTGTCGTGTTAGTCTGCCAAGGCTGCCGTAACAGAATACCACAGACCAGGGGGCCCTCGACAACAGAAAGTTCTGACAGTTCTGGAGCCTGGTTATCCAAGGTCAAGGTGTGGGCATGTCTGGTTTCTCCGGAGGCCTCTCAGGATACGGGAGGTGGGCTGCAGGTCCTATGCTCATTTAGCGTGTCTGACAAGGTGGTGCTGATGTCGGCCAGGAAGCTCAGTTCCTCCCGACCTGGGCCCTCACAGTGGCTAGCTTCTTTCAGAGCTGGCGATCTGAGAGACAAGACAGCACGCCGGGGGGGGGCTTATCATGTGTAGGACCCAGATTTAGAGGGGACGTAGCATCACTTCTGCCACATCCTAGTCCTTAGAGTGACTAAGTGCACGCTCACTGTAAGGCAGCAGGGTTTGGCTTGGAATTTACGAGCTTATCATAAATGAATTTTTATGGGATGCTTTGACTCCTGAATGTTGTCTCCCTTATGCTGTAATTCTAGGATGACAAGAATCATGCATTCTTGGGGCACCTCTGTGGCTCAGTCAGAATCAGTTGAGCATCCGACTTGGGCTCAGGTCATGATCTTGTGGTTCACGAGTTCGAGCCCTGCATCGGGCTCTCTGCTGTCAGCACGAAGCCCACTTCGGATCCTGTCCCCTTCCTGTTGCCCCTCCCCCCCGCCCTCAAAAGTAAGTAAACATTAAAAGATTCTTGCATTCTTTACCAACCACTGTCCCTCCAACAGAGCACAGGCCACTCAGGCCCCTGACACACTCGGAACTTCAGACCCTCATGGCCGGTGGAACAGTGGGTGGTCTGGGGGACGCTCTCTACAAAATGGAGAGATATCTTTGGAAAATAAACATAGGTTGTTTTGCACGGGGAGTACATTCATGTTACCTGTATTAAAAGACATCACAAGGCTCAGGACGCCTGGCTGGCTCAGTCCGAAGAGCAGGTGACTCTTGATATCAGGGTTCTGAGTTCAAGCCCAACATTGGGCATAGAGATTACATCCGTAAATAAACTTAAAAATATATATATTAAGAAAAATGAAAAAAAAAACCACACATGACAAGGCCCTTCAGGTGGAAGCAGTAAGTAAGACTATCCAGGCACTCCTGGCCACACACACGTGCCCCAGAAACCTTCCCTGAGAAACGTGTAACCACCACACTGAGGCCAGCTGTTTTCAAGCTGTTCTGCGAATTTCTGCTTCCTTGTTCATGGATCTGTCACCTTCAGCACTTCTACAGGAAAAGGGCTGGCAGACCCCAAGGACGTCTGAAAACTGCAGATGCATGAGGCGAACTCTGACCTCCAGGGGAAACCTGTCAGCCAGCACAGATGGGGAACCTAGGCAGACAGGCCACTCAGCTGAAAATAGGAAGGCGAAGATTCAAACCCAATGTCAGGCAACCAAAGAACCTTCTGTTAAACAAACAAACAAACAAACAAAAGCCCCTGTGTTCTTTGACTGAGGGAAAAGACACCTGACTTCTAATGGAGCGCTCTGACCGCTTTACAGGGCGCTGATGTGCAGCCGTACCCAGCGTCCGTCTCCAGACGTTCCAGGTCCCCTCCCTGAGCCTCGGTCCCCAGCACCCACTGACGCCCACCCGCCCCAGCCCCCGGCCCTCCGCCACCGGGTTCCTTCTAGCACCTCACAAAACATGACGGTGCAGCACACTCTCATCTCACATGGGACCTGCCACACCTGCTGGGCCGGCCCCGCCCAACAGCGGCAGACCCCGCCCCACGTCGGCAGACCCCGCCCACTCACTGCCAACCCCCCCCATCCCCGCGCTCGCGCCTCTGAGGGCGGAGGCCTCCGCGGGCCGAACCACGGTGCCCCTCGGAATGGGGGAAGGCGGAATTACCACCGTCGCCGCCGTTGGCTGGGGCGTAAGTGATTAAAGCAACTCACCATCATTTTGGAATCGCGCCAGGCAGTCGTCTTTCCAGGAGTGCTGGCCACCTCTAGGTCGCCAGGAGTTCCTTTTATATTTTGGAATCGTCCATTCTTTTGCCCAGTCAGTAGAAGGTTCTAAAAGTCGACACAGAGAGGGGCCTAACTTATTAATGCAAGCGAAGCTGTTTGTCTGGTGGAAGGCTAAGACATCACAACCAAGATAGCTTGTTGAACTCGTAGTGTATTCTAGTATATACTTCTGAGTTATGTGTTCCGTTTCAGTGAATAAGCCGCTTCCTTGTGCCTCCCCGCGGCGTCGCAGATAGTTTAGTCCTTCAGCGCAACGCCCGACGGGAGAAGGAAGGGAGTGGCTGCCATGTTGGACGGGACCATACGGTCCCACAGGCGGGGGTGTTAAGGGGCTCCCGGTGAGTTGTTTGCTTGAGCCCAGCAGCCGTGGTGCGGCGCCTCAAGCAAATGCTTGTCATGGGCGCCCTGTCGTGGTCCTCGGTGGAAACACTTGCGGCCCCCGGCAGCCTCCGGGCAGCTGCGAGCTTCAGGGCGTGGACAGTCCCCCTCCCCGAGCTCTGTGGGGCGGCCCGCGGTGCGCACATGGCCCGGCGGCAGGCGCCGCGCAGTGCGGCCTGGGAGAGTCGGAAGCGCGGCGAGGCTCGGCGAGGCGGCAGCGGCGGGCCCATGCAGGACGCGGAGAACGTGGCGGCGCCCGAGGCGGCCGACCAGCGGGCAGAGCCTGGGCAGCAGCAGCAGCCGGCTGCTGAGCCGCCGCCACCGGGGGAGGAGCCGTCGCGGCCCACGGGGCCCGGCGCCCAGGAGGCAGCAGGCGGCGAGGACGCGGAGGCCGGGCCGGAGCCCGACGTGCCCGCCGAGCCCGCGGCTGACGGGGAGGAGAGGGCAGCTTCGGCCCCAGGCTCGTCCCCACCGCCGCCTCAGGAGCCCCCCGCGTCGGCCCCGGCCGTAGGAGAGGTTGCGGCGGAGCAGGCCGGGGACCCGTCGGCCGAGGCCCGGTCCGAGGGGGCGGGCGGGGAGGATGGTGGCGCGGACGAGCCCTCCTTCAGCGACCCCGAGGACTTCGTGGACGATGTGAGCGAGGAAGGTGAGGTGGCCCGGGAGGCAGCGGCGGCGGCGTCCCCGCGTCCCCGCTGTAGACCCGGCCTAGGGAAGGGTTTCTAGGAGCGTTTGGATCTCCTTACGTGTGTTCTTCATTCAGAGTGGGGCGGGGCGGGGCAGGGGGCCAGGTGGAGACTGGAGACCGCTTGGGAGCCGCTCACTTACACTAGAACCTGGATTTTGGAGGTGGTGATGGTGGACAGCTCGCAAGCAGAAGCCATGGCCGTGTGTGGCAATTAGGGTCGAGCCAAGCATGGCAGTGCACGTGTCGCACTATCTCTGGTGACAGTTCCTTGTCTGCAGGTCTGGGTGCCCCGAGTGATGAGCCATACCTGTCAAAGGCCTGACCCGGACCTCATGGGGACGCTTTTTGGGGTTGATGCGATGCTGTCCCTTAAAACAGTTTGTGACAGGGTTAGGTTCCTTTGCCCTCGCTCTACGGAAGCTGCTGCCTCCAGAGAGCCTCGTAGGACTGGCAAGCGGACTCAACCAGGTTCCTGTTTGATTCTCTCTCCTCTTGAGTCTGTAGGCGGATCGCTGTCCTTGTGCTGGCGCATCATATTTTTGGGGTTTAGCGTCAGTTGTTGTAACTTTGTTTTTCTTCTTACCTTGATTCCATCTGCGGGTATTTCTGTTTCTTCCCTGAGAACTGTCTCCTGGAGTGATCTTTGTAGTGCCTAATCCCATTTGTTTATGTTCTGTTTTTAGCCATGTGAACTGTCGGAGCTCCCAGCACATCACTGGACTCCTGTGCATTATGGTAGAATCGGAAAAACAACACCAAGGAGGTAGCTCAGGACACACCAAGAAAATTAGATGTTGTCGTGTTAAGGTTTTTTTGTTTTGTTTGAGATCTTGCGTCTGATCTCACGGAGGTTGAGTCAGAATCAAAGAATTTCTGGTAAAATGAAGAAAAAAACTTAGGGAACCAACAATATTTATTTTAATTTAAACCTAATGTTAAAGAGCCACCTGTTGTCATCATTATCCTTATGCTTTGTTTCTTAAGAGACATCTTAGCTTGAACAGCAGAAAAGGCTACACGGACCAGTGAATACTTGGGCCGCTGAGCCAGCGGAAGTCCCTGACCTGTGGGGAAATGTGCCCCCTACACGTTGGGGAGGTCGCTGGTTACGTACAAGGGGACAGTGTTGCCGGGACCCCACCAGGCTCTCCTTCTGGGGCCAGCATTCGTTTCCATTGCCCTGAGTTTTATAATCTAAGTTTCGGTTCAAAAGCTCATTTTGAGCCCCTGAGTGTTGACTCTGCAGTTGATTTTTTTAAAAAAGCGTTGAGCACGTGCACTTCGCATGGGATTTCTACCGCGTGGACCATTTCCAGAGTTCGGCTATGTGGCAGGACTAATGGGAGCATGCGCGAGCCAGGCCAGGTGCCTGCCCAGAGAGCCTCTGGGGGCCCTTGGGGTCCTGAGACTGCCCAGAGGGGCCTGTGAGGCCCCTGGTCCTAGGGAGCTGCGCCCAAGCACACTGCCCCCCGTCTTTCTGCAACCACCTGTTGTGGTCAGTAGTCCAAGTGCGCATTTCGTGGTTAGTGAGACAACTGCCCCGTGGGGTCAGTGAGGTGCAGAAGGTGAAAATGGACGGGTCTCCAGGAAGAGCCCTCATGGAGGTGCTGGAAGCCACAGCCGGGCCGTCCTGACTCCAGGCCGAGGGGTTAGCCTGCCGCACAGGGACTCGGACATGCAGCCGCTGCTGGTGCTTGCCAGACAGTACGTTATGGGTCTCACTCCGGGCCACTAAGTCGTGCTTACCTTTAGGCTTGGTGTTTAGTTTTGAGAATTGCAGTCTCTTTCTCCTGGAGCCAGGCTGGGAATCTGTATGGCAAGAGTGAGTGGACGTGGGCACTGGGGGTGATGAAGGAAAGGGGTCTCCTCAGCGTGTCGTTGCCGTGTTTATTCCCTTCCTGTCTGTGGGCACTTCCTATAAATGAGACGCTTAATGATTGAGAGAAGGAGTCCACAGTGTGTGTAAAGCTGAGCTTTTTATTGTAAACCTTGTAAAATCAGATCTGGCTAAACAGGCCACGTGTAATTGTACGGTAAGAACTTTAACAGCAACCCAGGGAGCTGACGCAGCCTCCCTTGGGAAGGTGCCTCCCACCGCGGTGACTGCGATCCGCCTCTTCCCATCTGTTTTCTCTCGGTCTCCACTTTTCCTCCTTGAAAATAAGAGGCAGTTCTTCTTTTAGAGTAACACTGTCTACATGATCCATGAAAGTGTTGAAACCAGAGCTCGTTTATAACAGGCTTGCTTTTAAACTAAGGGGCTTTTTTCCTTTTTGAAAAACTTCTGTAATTGTTTTTTATTACGGAAAATTTCCAGTATGACAGTGCAGAAACATTCGTATTAAGTTTTGAGAACGAAATGGCAGTAAAGGATATTTTTGGACATGTTTTTTTTTCAGCATGTTGAAATTAAGAGGAGAATTCAGAACAGAAATAATTGGGTTCCAGGGCACAGGGAGACACGAGGGGAGGTCCTTCGGGCTGGCTTTGCTGCTGTAGCTTCATCCGACCCGTGCTTGGACGGCAGCTTTGCTCTGCTGTAGCTCCTGGTGCCGCCAGCACCGGAAACTACAGCTTTCTTCACCAGCTGCCTAAGTGGGTTTAGGGTCTGTGCAGAGCTTACGTGGCAAAGGCCTCATCTGATGCTCCGTTTGACCCCTGAACGCATACCTCCAGCAGCTGGTCGGGCATTTTATTGGCTCTGGGCCTTCATGGTCAGAAGACCTCTGCCCGCAGGCAGGACAGTGGCGGGTGGCGCCCAGCTGGCCTTGTCTCCTGCCCAGCCTGCTGTCCCTGCGCCCACTCCCCGGACACGTCTTTTTCCTGGCCCTTGACACCTGTCCTCTTTCTCATAACCTAGCCGGCCACCTTATGGAAATAAAGCAATTCTAACACGTCTGAGTGCTTACGGTTTGGGTTTTGTGACCTTAATTTTAAAAACAGGCGACAGGAACATAATACGTTTCCAGTTTCTGAGTCTAGTTAAGAAAATAATGGCTAACACACTCTGTGTGTTGGGTGCTGCGCACAGTCCTCAGCACTCACAGACTTAGTACCTGAGCGGCTGGCGTCTCCCCCGCGCCCTGTGAGGGGACACTGTCCCTTGTAAGGGGCGTCGCTGTTTGCTTTCCCCAGCGTGTGGGTTCTCTAGCCTCCCAGCCTGCGCAGCGATTTGACGTCGAGTACTGGGTACGAGTTGTGTGCTTTGTCTTCAGCTGGACATGGAGAAAGTGCCTGCTGGTGGGTGTGCGCTGGCGGTGGGCTGGGGAGGGCTCACTCTCCTGGAGAGGCCAGCTCTGCGTGGCATTCTGTATGCTGCAGGGCTTTAAAACGTTGATTTACAATCTTCCCCTGATTCCAGAAATGAATGGACGTATCAGCAAGGAAAACGGGAAGAGTTAAACTCATCCTAATGTTCTCAAGTTTAAATTTTGAGTCAACCCAGGGCCGGGATTTCTTTTCTTCACAGTGGAACCGTTCAGATGATTCATTTTTCACTTACTGGGAAACTGTTCAATGTGTTAAACTAGCGTGTTAACATTCTGCGTGGTCAGAAAGAAGTCACTGGTCCATCTTGCGTCCATACAGAGCTGCTGGGGGACATTCTCAAGGAGCGGCCGCAGGAGGCGGACGGGATCGACTCAGTGATCGTGGTTGACAACGTTCCTCAAGTGGGGCCCGACCGCCTGGAGAAGCTCAAAAACGTCATCCATAAAATCTTTTCCAAGTTTGGGAAAATCACAAATGATTTTTATCCAGAGGAAGATGGAAAGACAAAAGGGTGAGTGGTGTTTCCCATGGTCTTGGTTCCTGGCGCCCTGTGGTGGCCGTTAGGCCATATAGGAGTCGCTGTGGACACAGAGGTGCCCGCCTCACCCACTATTCTGCCCCAGCCACCCTCAGCTTCAAGGAGGTCCACATGGTTCTTAAATTTGGGCATTAGGGGTTGTCTGCTAAATTCTTAAGGAATTGGAACTTAGGGCGGGTGGCGGGCGCACCTGGGTGTCTCGGTGGGTTAAGCATCCAACTCTTGGTTTTAGCTCAGGTCACAATCTGATGTTTTGTGAGTTCGAGGCTCGCATGAGGCTCTCTGCTGACATTGTGGAACCTGCTTGGAATTCTCTCTCCTCACTCTCTGCTCCTCTCCCATTTGCTCTGTCTCCCTCTCTTTCCTTTCTCAAACTAAATAAAAATTAGGAGCGCTTGGGTGGCCCAGTCCATTAAGTGGCCAACTTCACCTTAGTTCATGATCTTGCCATTCATGAGTTCAAGCCTCGCATCAGGCTTTGTGCTCAGCTCAGAGCCCAGAGCCTGCTTCAGATTCTGTGTGTGTCTCGCTCTCTGCTGCTCCCCCATTCGTGCTCTGTCTCTTTCTCAAAAATTAAAACACTTAAAAATTTTTATTTAAAAAAAATTGTTAAAGATCAGAGCTGAGATTTACGTCTTCTGCCATCGGGACAAAAACTGGCATGATCCGTCCTGGCCGAAGGGCCCAGCAGATGAGAGGCTGGGTTCCAGGAGGACTTTACACAGGGTGCGCTGTTGATTCTGAGATGAGCTTTTCTTCTTTTGCATCTTAACATCTCTGAGATGGGGTTACTGCTAACCGGTCTAAGTGAAAGTGTTGGGTCACTGCTTAATTAGCAACTTTTTTCCAACTGTTCCTTAAAATAGTGCGTCTTTTAAAAATGGTAGCATAAGGTATGTGTCCTGGAGTTTGCTTTTCAAATTCAGCAAGAGGTTTTCTGACACAGGAAAACCTTTCTTGTCAGATTTTCTCCATTAAAATTTCACGTGATACTGGTCTTGGAGAATCTTACAGGACAGACAGGAACCAGAAGAGAAGATGATGTTATGTTTTTTTAATTCAGGTAGTTTTGAAATTATCTTGAATAGCTTTCATTTTATTTGTTTTGTAAATCTTGGATAGTTCAAAAAATCTTTTTAATGTTTTTATTTTTGAGAGAGAGAGACAAAGCATGAGTAGGGCAGGGGCAGAGAGAGAGGGAGACACAGAATCCAAAGCAGCTCCAGGCTCTGAGCTGTCAGCACAGAGCCCGACGCGGGGATGGAACCTACAAACTGAGAGATCATGACCTGAGCTGATTGGATGCTAAACCAACTACGCCCACCAGGCGCCCTTATCTTGGATAGTTTTAAAGAAAAATATTTTTTTTAAGAAACTACCAAATGCAGGTAATGCTCCTTCTGCTGTCTGTTTTGGAAACTAGGTGGAGAGATAACCTGTTTGACCAGCACAAAGCATTTTCTGGAAGTCTTTATAATTTTGCTGTTAACACACCGTGTCAGACTAATCATGTTCTTAGATTTCTCACTGCTTTATTGAGAAAGTTGATACACAGTAGACTTGTGTAGTCTCAGAGCACATCACAGTCACAAGTTCTGACACATGTACTTTCATGAAGCCCTTTCCACCGTCAAGCTAGTGAGCATTTTGATTAATTCTCTAATTTGTGATTGTGGCATTAGAGACTTCGGATCTTCTGTTAGGATTTCATTTGCGTTTTGGGAACCATTCTGCTGGCAGCTCGACCCTCGGGGATGTGGTAGCAGATGGGCCATAGGCCTTGCCGGCGTTTGCTGGTCGGCTGGACGGGCCTGGGGGTGTGGAGCACGGCCTGCCCGGTCCTGCAGTCTGCGCCCTATGAGGTGTTGTGTCCTGATTCAGGTATACGTTCCTGGAGTACGCCTCCCCTGCCCATGCCTTGGACGCCGTGAAAAATGCGGACGGCTACAAGCTGGACAAACAGCACACGTTCAGGGTCAATCTCTTCACTGACTTTGACAAGTAAGTCCCGGCTCGCATGGGCTCGAGTGGCTCAGGGTGTCTGGGGCGGTGCTGCTGGCCTTTTCGGGGAGCTCCGTTCTGCGGGCACATCCTGACCCCTGACGCTTCTGGCCAGTAGCACCCCTCGCCCCTTGTTCCCTAGCCTCCTCCCACCTCTACCCCTACTATCATGGATCAGAGGGGGAGGAGAGGGGAGGGGCAGTACACACTGCCTGCAGCTGAGAGCCACCCATGGGGACCGCCACCCTGTCCCCTCACCCCTGTGGTCCTTCTGCATGTTCCTGAAGAGCGGCTTCTCTGTTCCAGGTATATGACGATCAGCGACGAATGGGATATTCCAGAGAAACAGCCTTTCAAGGACTTGGTACGTGGGTATACTCCCCCATGGTTGAGAGAAGCAGGGGCAGCCATGAGCTCGGGTCGGGGCTGCTTCCGGGAGCGCAGGTCAGGAATGCAGCTTCGATTGCAGCCCATGAGACCTATTCTGTCCCTTGCCTTGGGCTCTTTCTCTAGGGGAACCTGCGTTACTGGCTCGAGGAGGCAGAGTGCAGGGATCAGTACAGCGTCATTTTCGAGAGTGGAGACCGTACTTCCATATTCTGGAACGACGTGAAGGACCCTGTCTCCATCGAGGAGAGAGCGGTGAGTGGAGCCGCCCCGCGGGGCCTCCCTCTGTGTTTCCTTAACAGGCAGCTGGGGCCATTGTGGTTGAGCGCCCTCTCCTTCCGGGTTGCCCCTCTCCGCAACATCATTCGCTCTTCTGCTTTTTGTTGTTGTTGTTGTTTTTTAAATTTTTTTTAATGTTTTATTTATTTCTGAGAGAGAGAGAGAGAGACAGTGTGAGCAGGGGAGGGTCAGAGAGAAAGGGAGACAAAGAATCTGAAACAGTCTCCAGGTTCTGAGCTAGCTGTCAGCACAGAGCCCGACATGGGGCTTGAACCCACGAACCGTGAGATCATGACCTGAGCCGAAGTCGGACGCCCAACTGACTGAGCCACCCAGGCGCCCCTTGCTCTTCTGGTTTTGAAAGAAACTCCAAGATGTGAGCGGGCGTCTCGTGTTTCTCAGTCAAGGTTGAGGAGTGAATCCTCATCGGAGCGGGAGGCTCTGCGTCGTCCTCATGGTGGTGGTAACACGGGCCCCGACTTTTCCTGCAGAGATGGACGGAGACCTACGTGCGCTGGTCTCCCAAGGGCACCTACCTGGCTACCTTTCACCAGAGAGGCATTGCTCTCTGGGGGGGAGAGAAATTCAAGCAGATCCAGAGGTTCAGCCACCAGGGCGTTCAGCTCATTGACTTCTCGCCCTGCGAAAGGTAAGTGGTCGGGGCGGGCGGTGGTCTGCTCTGGCTTTGGGCCTCTGCAGATTGTGTGAAACCAACCTTGTGGCGGTCCCAAGCCTGGTGGGAGTGTTGCGGCAAGGACAGGATGGGCCCTTGTAGACTGTTGGCTGGCATTTCCCGGGTGGCCTTTGGTTGTGGCCGCTTGGTCATTTCTGCATGTGGGCACAGCAGCCCTTTCTCCCCAGCCCTGGGAGCGAGTTGATGTGTCCCTCGCTAAGGGGTAGGGAGTTCTCTTAGTTAAGTGTCCCCAGGGGCGCCACGACCTTCAGGAAATGCGTTCCTCTACTTTTACCGAAGTCCTACCCTGTTCCAATTTCTTCAAGTAACGTAAGAGGCCTCTCGTACCATGTGGTCGGAGTGCATTGTGGGTTCGCGACCACCCCTGGTGTCCCAGGGCTCCTGAGATGTGGCTCTGTGTCACCTGCTTTGCTTCTCAGTGTTTTTGGTAGAACATTTTTCTCATACATGGAAAACATGGAGTGAGAACGTCAGTAGCATCCCTGTGGTAATTCCTTAGCTTTAATGATTTCTTACTTTGCTGTATTTGTTTCAAATACATTTTCACTACGGGGAAGCCTGTGCGGCTCAGTCGGTTGAGCGTTCCTCTCTGGATTTCAGTTCAGGTCACGATCTCACGGTTCCTGAGTTTGAGCCCTGCGTCAGGCCCTGTGCTTGAGATTCTCTCTCTCTACCTCTCTCTGCCCCTCTACCACTGACTCATGCAGGCTCTCTTTCTCTCTTTCAAAATAAACTTTAAAAAAAACTTTATGGACCATCTGACTTCGGCTCAGGTCATGATCTCACGGTTTGTGGGTTCGAGCCCCACATTGGGCTCTGCTGACAGCCAGCTCAGAGCCTGGAGCCTGTTTCAGATTCTATATCTCCCTCTCTCTGACCCTCCCCTGCTCACGTGGTCTCTATCTCTCTATCTCAGAAATACATAAAACATTAAAAAGAATTTTTAAAAACAATTTAAAAAATTTAAAAAAAATACTGTGAGTGTCATGAACGAATGCCGGCAGTCTGTGGAAGTGCATCAATCCAGGTAAAGGCGTTCTTCCCCGGTAATCGCGGCAGCAGCGACCTTAGCCTGACATCTTCGGGTGCCCTCCATTCTGCGCTTTCCCTGTTGGTCTCCCCCCGTCACTGTCGTTTGGAGCTACTTGTTCAAACCTGGGTCCCGGGCTTATGTGTGGAGCCCTCCTGTTGCCCCAGCCCGTTGCCCTACGTCGCCCGCCCTCCCTGGGCTGTGCTTTGATGGTGGCCTATGAGGGAGATGGAGCCGGCTGGGTTTGTCTCCTGGCCCACTCCAGCCACCACATAACTGGTCCGCTCCGCTCCCGTGTTTCCTGTAAAGTGTAAGTTCTCTGCAATAGGCCTTTCTTACATCTAGTAAAGTAGGTTTTGTGGAGCGTATTCTTGGAGGACTCATGATGCACAACCACTTTGCATCCGTTGGGAACAAAACACGCGAGGTCTGTCGTTGTGGCCGCGGTATGTTCACACAGACCCACGCGGGACCCCTCCCGTGGCGCGTGAGCAGAGCAGCCGCCCGGATCGGCAGCTGATTCCACCCGCGTTCTGGTCTTCCCGTATCCGGTTGTAGTTAATGTGCATACAGATCTCTGTCCGCTCGAGGACTGGACCTGGAGCGTCCCCTACTTGTTGTTGCACCCTCGCATGGCACTCTGCAGAGAGCCTAAGGTGTGACACCTGCCACGGGTCCAGGAGTGTGTGCCTCAGCCCTGCAGGTGCATGTGGAGGGTGTGTTTCTTGGGGACACCTGAATTGGCCATTGTACTGAGTGTGATGGCCTCACATGTGGGGGCGTACGGAGCGGGTCTGCATAGCGAATTTCATGACTTGCAGGCGGTGCCTGCAGCCCCAGGTTTTAGTCCAGAGCGCCAGCGCCAGGAGCCCCACCTGCCTCTCCTGGGCGTGCCTGCCTCCTGTCCCTCCTCACCGAGTGTGTTTCAACCTTTCCTGTATTCGTTCCAAGGGAGCCATGTGACTTAGGTGGTGCACTATGTGAGCAGGGCAAGTCGGTGACCCAGGTGTAGACAAGCCAGCGGGTGGGGGAGTGAGAAGCCCGGGCGCAGGAGTGGTGGTAGGTGGATGTTGCTGTGGGATGCATGTGACCGGCTGCGCAGTCCACGCCTCTGTCCTGGCCGCACGTGGGCGGAGCGGGTAGATGGTGCACCCCTGCCTTGGAGCACACGCACACCTCACTTTGAGGCCTGTCGGGTCCTCTCTTGTCCCAATTCTGTGGGGAAGCACATGCCCTGGTCCAGGAGTGACCACTCGCCTCCCGCCTTGGAGGCTAGAGGTGGCTTTCCTGGTGGGAGAGCATTGCCAGGGAGCCGGAGTTGGGGGAGAGTGCCATGGGTGTGAGTCCTGTCTGCGTGTTCTGGAAGCCTCAACAGTACCTCGAGCTGCCTGGAGCTGAGGAGGCTCTGCCCTCAGCACGGGCTTGGGGACAGTGGCCAGGGTTGTAAGCGGTGTCTGCTCCGTTACAGGTACCTGGTGACTTTCAGCCCCGTGATGGACACTCAGGACGATCCTCAAGCCATCATCATCTGGGACATCCTGACTGGGCAGAAGAAGAGGGGCTTTCACTGTGAAAGCTCAGCCCATTGGCCTATTTTTAAGTGAGTAAACGAGGGGTGGTCAGTGGTGATCTTGTCGTGGCCTTTCCTCACAACAGAGGCTGGCACTTGTGTTCTCCTTTTTAGGTGGAGCCACGATGGTAAATTCTTTGCCAGAATGACACTTGACACGCTTAGTATCTATGAAACTCCCGTAAGTGGCACAATTTCCCGAGAGGCAGCCTGCCTGTTGGGAGCTTGGGGGCAGGGGCTAGGAGGGAGGAGAAGCGATACGTGTGCAGAAGGGGGTAAGACTGGAGCATCTGTCCCTTCCTGTCCCCGGGGGCCTCCCCGCTGTGCTGCCAGGAGTCCGGGACAGGAGTCAACAGAATCCCCACTATCGGCGAATTGTTGTGTTACATGCCCCCTACTGGGCTTCAGACTCATTCCAGAACCTCTCGTTTGCTTGCTGTGAAAATGTGCTTGTGTTACGGGGACCACGGCCTGACTTGTAACCCTCACTTCTCCATAGTCCATGGGTCTTCTGGACAAGAAGAGCTTGAAGATCTCTGGCATAAAGTAAGTGACCGTTCTTACCAGTGGGGGTTAGTGGCTTCCCCCTTCGCACTCACGCAGCCGCAGGAGGTGGTGTGGGCCGGGTCCAGACATAACGGTGGCACGGTGGGCCCTTGCCTGTCGCCACAGGCCTGCTCATCAGTGCGCCCACAACTCTGATGAGCCTCGCTGCCCACACTCCCTCCTTGTGCCCAGAGACCCCCCCATGAGGGCCGCAGTCCTTAAGAAGGACGGGGGGAGGGGGCTGGGAAAGGCTTCTGTGCACACTGTGGTCTGTGCAGCGGGTTCGATGGCTTTGGTGAGCCACCCGGAGACATGTGTTTGTACATGCGTGTGTGCACGTGCGTGCACACTCTCTGGGGCGGCCCGTCTGCAGAGGAGTGCCCGAAGTGTGGACGTCAACGCTCTTGGGCATGGTTGTGGCTCACAATGCAAACTAAGGCAGGAATCGATTCCCCGTGAACATTAACAGTAACAGTAGTCTCCGTGCGCCTGAGCCAGTGGATCATGTGTGCCGGTGCCCGACCTCACAGTGCCTCGCAGTGGGGGACATCGCTCTCCCGCTTAGCGTCCGGCAGCCACAGCTCCCTGCGTGTCCTGCAGCAGGATGTGGTAGGCGATGGCCAGTCGGGGCTCGGGGCACCTGCTGCGTGGTGGCCGGGACCCTCGCCAGCGCCTCTCCCCGCTGGTAGAACGAGTGTGGGGAAGCCCCAGGTGGCCAGGGGCCAGCTCTCAGGGCCGCGTTCCCTCGCTGTTGGTGGCCAGCCAGTCCTCAGGCAACGCTGTTCTGCTTCATCCCGCAGAGACTTCTCTTGGTCTCCCGGCGGTAACATCATTGCGTTTTGGGTCCCTGAGGATAAAGACATCCCGGCCAGAGTGACCTTGATGCAGCTTCCTACCAGACAGGAGATCAGGGTCAGGAACCTCTTCAATGTGGTGGATTGCAAGCTACATTGGCAGAAAAATGGAGATTATTTGTGCGTGAAGGTGGACAGGACCCCAAAAGGTACCCAGGTGAGTGGATGCCCCAAGCAGAACCCTTTCTTTATAGCTCCAAGCAGGCCCCCCACCCGAAGCCTGGTGACGGACTCTCCATTCGAGCTCACGGGTCACCTTTAGACCCGCCAGTTCCGGACAGTGGTTAGTCCTCGCTAGAGCTTGTGTCTCCTTGCCGCTGAGGCACAGGCGACCTGGTGGCCCAGTTCACAGGTCACAGGGATGCAGTGCCGTCTCAGGGAGATGGGATGCTGGCGTGTCTCTCTCTCCACTTCTTTCTCAAGCGCAGAGAGGAGCATGCTGGACCCAGTTCTGCGCCCTGATTGGCTTTGTTCCCATCATTTATGAGTTCTTCCCCCCAACGGGAGTGTTTCTCCTGCTTTCCCCCAGAGATCCCACAGACAGGGTCCCCGCACTGTAGCACTCGCCCTCGAAATGGCACAGTTCAGTGGCTTTTCAATATGTTCAGACTTGTGTGGCCATCGCCACAGTCTGAAGTGGAGAGCATTCTCCTCATCCACCCGCGGCACCACCGCCCACCCCGGTGCGCTCCTGTGCCCGCTGCTCTGCCTTCTTTCTGTCTGGATCTGCCAGGCTGGGACACTCGCTGGGAACGAAGTCCTGCTGCGTGTGGCCTTTGTGGCTGTGGCCCTTGATGAGCACGATGTCTAGGCCTATCCGGGCTGTGACTGGTGTCTGTGCCTCCTCCCTGGTCAGGGCCGAGGAACACAGCCGTGCTTCCTTGTGTTCGTTGTCTGAGGGACGCTTGTGCTGTGTCCGCCTCCCAGATGCCAGGAAGAATGCAGTGTCCTGGTCTGGCATGTGCCAGTGCTGGCGGGATTCGCAAACAGTGCAGCCCTGCCCTGTTGGCTCTCCGGGGCACCGCACGAGTTCTGCAGTGACTGCCTGTGCAGGGCTTTCTCCATGCAGGGGTGTGACCTCATGCATGCAGGGCCCTCTCTGTGCAGGGGTGACTCTAGGGCAGCTCTCCAAAGTAGGGCCTGGACCAGAGAGGGTGTCCGCTGTCCCCTTCGGACTGTGCCCACGCACCTCCGTCGGCACTGTCGTGACTGTTGCACTTTTAGTCACTTGACACGTCCGTGTGCCTGTCCCAGCTATGTACGTTTCATCTGTCGCCAGGTTGACTTGTCCTTGATTTAAGCGTTTCTCAAGTTTTCAGTTTTTGTGACTTCATTGCCTTTTTTTCTTCTGAATAGGGCGTGGTCACAAATTTTGAAATTTTCCGAATGAGGGAAAAGCAGGTACCTGTCGACGTGGTGGAAATGAAAGGCAAGTTCCGTTGTTTCTCTGTAGTCCAACGGCCCTTGAGCACTGCCGCCACTGGCCTTGGCGCTCCCCGCCTGGCAGAGTGCTCATGACCCTGACTGACATGTGCCGTCCGGCTGCACGAGAGCGCTCCCTGGTCCCTCTTCACATCCATCTCGGCCAATTTCCCCCTCAGAGGCTGCGCTGGGAATGGCCATTCATTGACGCTTTGAGCGCCCAGCAGCGGGAGGGTTTTCACATGGCAGTCCCAGGTTCTGCCTTGTCTAGAGCTCTTTCCTGGGCCTGTGAAAGCCGTTCACGTTCCTGTTTCCACCTCTGGATAGGAAACATTGCCCGTCTTTTGTCGGGTTTTGTGTTCTACTTTTGTTCTCTGTTTTGCTAGGGAGTCGAGAAAGGGGAGGGGAGCACAGTGGGAACGTAGGTTCAGCCTGGCCACCCTGCCATGCTGGGGTCTCCCCTTCCCCCATGAGAGTGCCAGCAGGTGGGAGGCCGTGGGATGCACTGGACATCGGGCTTTGGCCTCGCTGCAGTGGGCATCTAGGAAGGTGGTGGTACTCCATGGCCAAGGTCCCCATGACTCACCCGCACACTCGTCCTTAGGCCTGTCGTGTGGTCCCTTAGTGGATATAAAGATTGGGGTGTTGCTCTGGTCTGATGGTGAGGCCTGTGCGGGAACATGACTTCGTCAGGGACACTGTTGGCTCGCGTGACTTAGGGCCTTGCTCTTCGTCCCGATCGCAGAAACCATCATCGCCTTTGCCTGGGAACCGAATGGGAGTAAGTTTGCTGTGCTGCATGGGGAGGCCCCTCGGATATCTGTCTCCTTCTACCACGTGAAGAGCAACGGGAAGATTGAACTTATCAGTAAGTAGCCTCTCCCGTTGGCAGAGAGACAGACTGGACAGATGGATGGGTATGCACTGGGGACACAGCCCCGTCCTCGCTCCACGCGAGGTTGTTCGGTTGGCCAAGAGCTGCCGTTTGGGCTCCCCTCACGGCCCAGAGGGCCCCTGCAGCTCAGGCCTCATATGCTGCCCACCCACAAAGAATCGGCCTCTGGGAGCCCTCCCTCCCACCCTGACCTTCACAAGAGGGCTTCTGAGTGGAGGCGGTCCCCCTCTTGCAGCCACAGCAGGAGTCTCTGGGCTGGGGGTCCCGTTTCTCCCCCCGCCCCGCTCCGCCTGCTTGGGAGGCAAGCTAGGGCCTGGCCCCTCAGTGGGGCAGGGTGCGCTGTGTCTCCCCGAGCCCCGGGTGCACAGCCTCCTCGCAGGATAGACAGCACCTGGGGCCAGCATCTCACAGCCCAGGTGCAGAGGGCGTCCTGAGCGAACTTGGCGAACTCAGCTTTTACCTTCTGAGCTCAGTGGTGGGCGCAGTAGAGCCGTCCTGGGGTAGATTGGTGGCGGTCATAAAACTGCGTTATTAATTCCCTGCAACGGAAGAGGAAGTAGGGGCCAGTATGGGTTCCCAGATCTGCGTAGTCTCTTGTAGGAAATACATTGGCAAACAACGAGCGTCCAAAGGCATCTCTGAATGCTCTGTGTCGCCCACCTTGGAAGGTCGCATGTCATTGCTGGGATAATCACGTGCGTTCTGTTAACACGTGTGGTTGTTAAGGGACACCTTACAGTATACTGTCCCTCTTTTGTTCTGCTGAGTCCTGCTTGTTGGCTGGTGTATCCCTTCTCACGTCTCACTATCCCGGCTGGGCCCCCGTCCTTGGATCCACGGCAGGGTGAGATCAGGCCCCAGGCGGTTCACCTCCAATGAAGAGACCCCAGCCTGAAGCTTGAGCGGTAGTCGTCCACTCCCCAGGGCCTCTGCAGGCTTCTTCTGGATTGTGAGCAGTCAGGGTGCTGGGCTTCCAAATGAATTGATGGTCCCAATGTTCAAAACGGTGTTTGAGTCCCTGGAAGGATGAGTCTTGGGCCTCTTTGGGTCACAGGTGTCTCTCTGCCTCGGGGGGGGGGGGGGGTCTCGCCCTCGTGTGGAGACCCCGCAACAGTGTTTACGGTGAGTCGTCTGCAGTTTCCTGGAAAGTAGGCTGGTGTCAGTACAGATGGTATCGTAGCTTCAGGGTATCTCCTCCTTCCTTATATGTTTGGAATGTAGGTCCTAACTTGAACACATACCCAAACAATGGGTTTTCCAAAATGTTTTCTTGGGCAAACAGGCGTGGCATGCAGGGGTGGACATCTGCCCACCAGGGCTGCATGGACCCATTGCCTGTCTCAGCTGCATTGCGGCTACAGCGTCTTCACGGGGACTTCTAACAGGCACTCTCTTTGCTTTCAGAAATGTTTGATAAGCAGCAGGCAAATACCATCTTCTGGAGCCCCCAGGGACAGTTCGTCGTGTTGGCTGGCCTACGGAGGTGGGTTCCTGCTGGTGGCTGCCTCCGCATGTCATGATTCATGCTTGTGGGCCCCACGGGCCATGCTCCAGGTTCACAACCACCACGGTGTTTCCTTGAGAACGCGGTGGAACGAGTGTCCTACGTGAAAGGACCATCCCATTGTGCTCACACTTGGGTGGACGCTGGGCCGGGTAAACCATTCCCCACAGGTGTGTGTGGGGCGGGCCTGGATGCGTGAGCATTGTCGTTTCCTCACGGTTAAATGAGCCATCTTGGTAGCCGGGCAGTGAGTCTGGCGTAAACCCTGTCCTGTTGCAGGAGGGCTGTGTGAGCTCGGAGCCTGAGCCCCCTCGGGTCCTTGGCCGCCCCGCCATCCGTGGGAGCGTGGTAGCCGGATACACTTCAGTTTCCCGACTCTGCTGGAGGTGCTTCCTGTGTTCTTAGAGCTTTGGTCTCCGATAGGGTCTTCTGTGAAGGCGGGCAGGCGTACTAGGTGCCCTGTGTGTGACACTCTGGGGAGACGGCTCCTGGCTTACTTCCTCCTCAGCAGCCAGCCAGCAAGCGGGCGTGCCCACGGCTCCTGTGCCCTGCCCTGGACCCTGCAGGCAGCGGGATGCCACAGTGGCACGTGCACATGAGGCTCCCCGCGTGGACCGACCGTGCGCTGTGTCTCCCCAGCATGAACGGTGCCTTGGCCTTTGTCGACACCTCGGATTGTACAGTCATGAACATCGCCGAGCACTACATGGCCTCCGACGTGGAGTGGGACCCCACCGGGCGCTACGTGGTCACCTCTGTGTCCTGGTGGAGCCACAAGGTATGGGGCCCCGCGTGGCCCGGGCAGTGTGGGGCTCTCCTCCCCTCCGGGTCTCCTCAGGGTGGCCCCACTGCTAATCCTCCAGCTGCTCTTTGGGGCCCTGCCGGCTGCCGCTGCCACAGAGCCCCCAAGGCAGCGGCCTTGCCGGGGCCCGGCTGGCACTCCTTCACTTCTCTTGCCCAAGTCGTGCGTCTTCTGCTTGTTGCAGCCAGCCCAGGCTGCCTTCCTCTGGCGCAGCAGCCTGGGAGCCCTTTGCAGCAAGAATCGGGGTGGGTGGTTTCCCCCTGCAGTTCTGAACCACGCCATCCTCTATGGTGTGGAGGGGGGGGAAGGCTGCACCGAGCCGTGCACACCTCCCCGGCACCATTCTTCCACCCTCAAGAGGCTCATGGATCAGAGGAGCCCAGCTCCCCAGACCCTCAGAGAGGGAGGCCGGCAGGGCAGTGGCCCATGTGCTCCTCCCCTGCCTGGAGCGTGCTTCCTCTTCCATGGGCACCCCATTCCACGCTGTGCTTTTGCACAACGCTCACGAGACGGGAATCCATCTCTTCTTCTGGAGGGTGGAGGTTTGAGAGGGGAGCGTCGGCTGGGCAAGAGCTGTTCCTGGCGTGTGGTCCCTGTTCCGTCCAGGTTTGTAGGCTGCCAGGGCAAGCACTGCTTGGGCTGGGTTCTGGGCTCTGGGCCTCCCTAGAGGACACGAACACGTGTGTGAGGGAACCCATGTCTTAGTCTCCAAACTCCGTAACCTGAAGGACTGGAGGAGCGCTGTGCTCCGTGGGTTGAGCTTGCGTACAGAACACGTTCTAAGTGGTGTCTGTGTGCTGGGGTGTCTGCGTCAGTGCTCCAAGCTCATTGCTCCTGAGCCATAAGCCGCGGGGGAGGCCCTGCTGAGCATCCGTTCTGTTTACTGTTTCTTACTGGTAGAAGTAATGAGACTTGAACCAGCTCCTGGGTGGACATGGAGCCTGAGGGGACAAGTCAGGGCGATTCCGTTAACAAAATGACAACGTTCTAGGAGCTCAGGATTAGCAAACATCACTGATGACGCTGACTTGAGAATGACCTTTGAACTCGGCACAGTGGTCGTTCCGTGTGCGTCCAAGTTTGTCTGAGTGCTGCCTGCGTGGGGCCCACCCTGGGCCTTGGTAAAGTCTTTGAGGCTGTTGGCCGCCCTGTCAGATCCCAGCGCTCCCGAAGAGATGGCCTGCGACCGGACCACTCAGTTCACAGCTCCAGGAGCCGCTCCCTCCTCAAGGGAGGTGTTGCTGGAGACAGCCGTCGGTGGGCTGAACAGTGTTCAGTGACCTAGTCAGTGTGCATCCTGCTGTGTGTCCATCGTGCAGCAGTAAGGGGGCCAGGGCTGCGTGGCGCTGCCATAGTGCTGGGAGCTGTGCTCAGTGACGCGTGCGGCTTTCTGTCCTGTTTGCTGGCCGTGTCCCCCTCTGCAAGCAGAGATCCTTGATTCGCTGCTGTCTCCCAGACACAAAACTGCTGTTGTTGGCTCTCAGGCAGCCATCGGAGGGGTGGTTGACTTGGGGGGTGCGCTGTGAGGGTCCAGGTGCTGAGACCGCCCGTGTCTCACTGTGGCTCAGGCAGTGAGTGGTGGTGTGGCCTGTGTCCTGTTGCAGGTGGACAACGCCTACTGGTTGTGGACCTTTCAAGGGCGCCTTCTGCAGAAGAACAACAAGGACCGCTTCTGTCAGCTGCTCTGGAGGCCCCGGCCCCCCACGCTGCTGGGCCAAGACCAGATCAAGGTCGGGGTGGTGCCGGGTGGGCAGTGGAAATGCAACATTTTGGTGGGGGTGTGGGGTGCCTTAGGAGAACTACGGGAACATTGGGAAGCCAGTGGGAAGGAATGGTTTCAGAGTCATAAACGTGTGTTTCCAGGCCATTCCTGGCCACGTCAGTGCCCTTCTGGGACATTGGCATAAGCTGGAAGGGGAATGAACAGGCGCCAGGGGCGGGTGAGCCATGCCAGCAGGACTGGGAGGCGATGTCGGGGCTCCACATGGTCACAGAGAAATGGCAAAGCTGGGGGGAGCGACCATGAGAGAGGCAGGGACTCGCCCCCGTGACCCCTGCAGACCGGGGTGTGCATGCTCGTGGATGGCCATGTGTTAGTGATCTGTGACGATGCCGTTTCCTGTTGGCCACTTCGAAGATTGCTTGTGTGGTTCTTGCTCAGAGCGTGCAAATCCTGAGTGGCTTGTCTTTGTTTTGGTCTCAGCAAATTAAAAAGGATCTGAAGAAATACTCCAAGATCTTTGAACAGAAGGATCGTCTGAGCCAATCCAAGGCCTCGAAGGTTAGCCTGGTCCCAGGACTGAGGGAAGTGCCGCAGGCTGCCACCGCCTGTCTGTAGCCTGGAAGGGCCGGCAGCGGGCCCCAGGGGTGGCAGTGTGTGGGGGTGGGGGGAGTACATTGAAGGGCCAGCATCAGACCCCAGGGGCGGCAGTGTCTGGGGAGGGGGGCTGGTTCACTGCCTGCACACACAGACTGGCAGGACCCTGCTCTGCATCTGGGTGGCTGTGTTTCCGGGTGCATGTGAGGCAAAGGAGGAGGGCACGCCCTACGTTCCTGTCCAGGGTGTGGGGGGTGACTGCCAGCCACAGCCATCATCATGGTGAGGGGACTGTCAGCCTTGTGACTTCCCCAACTTCACACACAGGAACTAGTGGAGAGAAGACGCACCATGATGGAGGATTTCCGAAAATACCGGAAAATGGCCCAGGAGCTCTATATGGAACAGAAAAACGAACGTCTAGAATTGCGAGGAGGTAACTATTAGCTGGAGACATGTTTTTAAGAGCTGGAGTCTGTTGAAACGTTTTTCTCCTCCTCAGTGAGTTTTCCAGTTCAGCGTCCGGTGTTTTTGTCAAGGAACCGAGTTTGCCGGGGCCACAGGTTCACGTGCACAGCACTCCACGGAGGGCCTTGCTGTGCTCGCACCAGGCTCGGCTGGAGCGGGCGAGCGTGGGTGTGTGCACAGTGTCTGCACACGTCACCCTCCCTGTGCGTGCAGACACGTGTCCCTGTGGCTTGTCACCCCCCTTCCCTCACACAGGTGTGGACACGGACGAACTGGACAGCAACGTGGAGGACTGGGAGGAGGAGACCATCGAGTTTTTCGTCACCGAGGAGATCATCCCCCTGGGCAGCCCAGAGTGACGGGAGCAGGTGGTAAGATGGGGACTAGCCATGCCCTGACGTGTCCCGCAGCGCCTGTTGTGTTGTCCCTTTGCTGAGGAAAGAGCCAGGCTCACGTTCTCGGGCCAGTGTGGCCCCAGCGTGGAAGCTGCAGGGCTCAAGTGCATACCCTGGCTGTCTGAGGCTCTTCCTCAACACGGCAAGGCCTGAGCCCCGGACTTAGGGGACGCGCCCCTCATGTGTGCCCTGGTTGTGGGTGGGGGGCGGGGCTAGGGAAGAGGAGGGAGGCAGGCAGCAGTCCTGGGAGAAGGCCTCCGTGTGCCCAGCAGAGCCAGGCCTGTTGGTCTGAGGCAGGAGCCTCTGGAGCGCACTCGGGTTTCCTTGGTAAGCGAGCAAGGACTCAAGAGCCGTTGTGTCCAGGGCAGCCGACACTGGCCGGGTAGCCCCTCGGGCGAGGCTCTCCGCCCTTGAGGCCGCTCCCCTGGGCGTCTGCTCGTGATCACCCCAGTGTCAGGCCAGAGTTGACCTGGGGTCCCTTCCACCCTCCGAGGTTGTGTGCTCCATGTCTTCTGCCCATCAAGGCACGCCATCGCGGAAGCCCTGGGCAGAGACTAAACCTGGCTCCCCTCTTACAGCGTCCCCTGGCCCGTGCCGGAACAAGGTCGTCCTGCAGAGAGCCCACACGACACCTGGATGTTCCCTGTGCTTTCTCTCGCTGCAGGCCGTGCGCCCGGTTCTCCGTCCCCACGCATCACTGTGCCTTTAGCCCCCCCGGCCTCCGCCGCAGGGAGCATTTCAAGGCACCGCTTTACTCTTTTCTCGTTTGGGGTTTGTAAGGTCACACCACCAGTGTTTGTTACTCAGACTCGTGCACGGCGGAGGCAGGTTCCTGCCTTCTGGGACACGGCCCAGTGGTCATTCTCCAGTGATTTGTCCTGTCTCTAATGCGGGGGCCAGCGTGGCTGTGTTCCAGACACGCGAGCCGCGCACCAGTGTCCCCGCGCCATTCAGGTTGTGCTAGGTTCACAACGGGCTGAGCGTGGAAATAAAAGCAAACCTGTATGAAAACGCTGTCTTTCTCCTCTCTTTGAACTTAGATAGCGGCCTTGAACTTGATGCCTGTGCCCAGTCCCCCTGTGGCGGCGGCAGAGGTGCTGCTGGCCCCTCGGGCAGCTCTTCCGCCTCCTGGTTTGGTTGTGTTTTCTCAGCTGAGCTCTGGAAAGTAAAGCACTGGTCTGATCAGTGCAGAAGAAGTTTTTTCAGCATTTTTTGTTTTCCATGCTTGTTTCATCTGTTGGGAAAGATCCTTCTAGACCTTTCCTTGGAGTCCTACAAGTTTGAAGTTGTCCGTGAGAGTTGTCACTTTAGCCGCCATCATGTGGTTCTCTTTGAATATTTAACTCGGTTCCTCTCCTGTGAAGGGAGTGAGCAAATCCACGTAATTTCAGCCCCTGTGTATTTGCGATGTCTGCTGCCCACCTGTGCCTTGTCAGCTCCGCCGCATCACCTCTTTCTTCCCGTCTCTGGGAGCTTGAAGCCTGGGTTCAAAAGCAGCACACAGAATGGGCTCACTGTGCTTTCACGGCTGTGGCGCCCATGAGCCTGATACATTGGGATTGGAGGAGAAGCTGCTCGGGCGGCTGGGGCCACGGTGCTGGAGGAGAGTGTGGGCCGCCTGTCCCCAGTCCTAGGACCCCCCCCCCCCAAGTTTGGATGAGGCGCCCGGCGCTCTCCCCAGTTCCTGGTCACACCCGGCAGCACACAGTGTCTGGTGTTTCTTACTGGCTTCCACTCCCTTTCAATCTCAACGTGCTTGACTTAGGTTTTTACTTTGATGACGGTAAGGAGGAAAAGGCTCATGTTTTGATTGTGTTCACAGTTTTAACAGCTTTCAAAAAATTTACTTTGGACTGTTTCCAACTCAGCAGTTGTAATTGTTTTACATGATTTGTTAATAAAAGAATTTCGGAAACACTTGTGCTTGTTCATATCTCGTGCTGTAGAAACAGTCCCCCAGGGAGAGCCGTGTCCCGACCTGTCGGGTGAGGCCTCCACCCCCTGGCTCCTCGGGCTGAACGTCAGGGTGGGCGCTGGCCCCAGCTGCCCACATGGGTCCACTTCCCTGGTCCTGTCCCCAGAGGTGGGCAGGAAGGGAGGGGATTTACCCTCAGGTTGGAATCAGAGACTTGGGCTCTTTGGCAGGTTCCTGTGATCACAGGCTGCAGCCTTCATGGAAGGTGGATGTGAGCATTAGATGGGTGGCTTTCTTCTGCTGTCCCCCTCCCTGGTCCATGGGGTGGGAATGTCCTAGAGCCCAGCACTGGCCCAAACTCTGAGGAAGAGAACGGCACACCCAACACAACCCTGCCCCACCATGCTCATGGTCAGTCGTGGTCCCTGGGCTGGGCATGCTGGGGACAGCCCTGATGACCTTGAGGGACTCATCTGACTTGCGGCCCAACCCCTGCCACTGTGGGCTGGCCTCTATGGGCCTTTGAGCGCTGTAGCCACAGTCGCAAAGTTGGGTTTCTCAGGTTGGAACTTCCTGCACCTGACTTCTCTGACTTCCCAAACGTGGGACAGCTCGTTCTCCTCACCTCTGGTTCTCCACCTGACAAGGCTGCTGGCATCTGGGTCGCCGGGTCGCCAACTTGCCTGGAGGCTGCAGGGAAAATTGTACGCAGCCCCTGGTTGCAGACACCTGAAGGTGATGGCCAGCCCGGCCTGGGGGGTGGTGCAGATTGGCCACCTGGGAACTGTAGCTAGAACCACACCCCAATCAGAATCTGGAAGACCTTTTCAAGGTTGCTCTAGAAATGGCATTTGTGGGGAAAGCATCTGTAGTTAAGATTAATTTCATTAAACGTCAGCTGGTGGCATTTGTCTCCCTTTGGCGGAACTGCTCCTAGGCGAAGACTGGTTGCCGTGGCATCAGGTGAAGGTGCGGCCCCCATGTGCCCAGCGTGCAGCTGCCCTGCGTCCACCAGGGCCTGGGCTGCCCAGCTGCTTGGGGCCTCCCCAGCCACGTGTGCAGTCCCGAGTGTGCACACTGTTAAGGACTGGCTGGGCTCCTGGGGCCTGCTGATGTCACCAAGGCGGGGCAGATGGGAGGGGGGCCTGCCTCGCAGACAGGTCGCCAGGAGAACAGGAGCCTGTCATGCCCTCTGGCCCCACCGCTGCTGGCCCTTCCCCAGCCCGGGGCAGCCCGGCTTCGGGAGATGGAGCCCAAGGACCAGCCCCTCATGGTGAGCACCCTCCCTTGTGTCCCTGATGGGCCTGTGGCCGCATGTCCCCAGGGCTACCTCCTCCCTGCTCCTGCTGCCTCCTGACCCTCTGCCCCTGGTGCCCACTTGGCACAGGTCAGGTGTCAGGGCTGCTGGTCCCCATCTAGGGCCCTGCCTCTGCTCCCTGGGCTCTTCCTCTTCACCCCTCGCCCTGTGATCTCCTCCTTGAGGGACTCCAGCTCCTGTGAGGACTGGCCACATCTGTCTGCTTGGATGACTTGGAACTTGAGCCCACCTGACAGTGGAGTTGCTGAGGCCTGGGACACAGCCGTCGGCTGTCATGAAGGGGGTTCTCTGGGGATTCGGGGGCAGCTGCTGTGAGACCTCTGGAAGCCAGCTGCCATGGTGTTTGCCCTCAGGTGGTGCTTCGGATCCGCCCGCTTAGTGACACAGAACTGGACGAAGGGGCCACCGTCATTGCCCACAAAGTGGGGGACCAGGTGAGGCTGCTGGGGCACAGGGTGTGTGTCCACAGCGGGGACCTAGTGAGGCTGTGGGGGTGCAGGGTGAGTGTACACAACGGGGACCCGGTGAGGCTGTGGGGGCGTGGGGCCTGTGTCCACAGCTGGGACCTGGCAAGGCCACAGGGGCGAGGGCATATGTCCACAGATAGAGTCGCGACACCCATTGAATGTTAATACCAAGGGCTCACGGCAGCCAGGTACTGTTGTAGACGCTGGGGCAGAGCTGTGAGGAGACCCAAGGACTTTTCTTGTCCAGGGTGGGAGCGAACGATGAAGGGATGCATGTGTGATGTCAGGGGAGTTTGCTGTCACAGAGGATCAAACAGAGCGAGTCGGGGGAGGGGAGCCCTGACCACTGCTGCCTGCCAGATGGGCATGCCAGGTGCTGACCTAGTGGTGGGGGGGTGCCCAGTGGTGACCTGGTGGGGAGGGGTGCCTGGTGCTGACCTGGGGGGAGCCCTGGAGGATGCTGTGGGAAGAAGAAACGGACAGAGCACGTGGGCTGTGCAGACACTTTGGGTGCGCTGGGCAGAGGCTGCCGTGAATTAGTGCTGAGTTCATAGATAGCTAAGCAGTAAAACAAGGTGAGGGGTGTTAAATTGGGGGGAGCAGAAATTTGCAGGAAAGGGTTTGGCTTAGGTGTGAAGAGTGTATGTGGTCTCCATAGGAAAGCAGGGTTGATCCAGCTGAATTCATGCCGTGAGTGCCCCGGGGGTTGGGATGGGGCTCTGTCTGAGTCACCAAGGGGCAGGTGACCAGCCAGGCACAGCGCAGATGGGGGCCGAGTGGGGACTGCCGGGTGCGTGGCGCTGATTAACGCGGGTCAGGGGATGACGGGAGTATCCTGGAGTCAGTAACAGCTCTTATAATAGTGTCACTAGTGCCTGAACCTTGGTGCTGGCCCATCTGGGGACTGACAGACCTCCTCCCAGGGAGTGTCCCTGCTGTCCAGGGTGACTCCCACCCTACCTGATGATGAAGTCAAAGTGCAGCCTCTTGTGTTTGCTGGCCCAACACCTGGGAGGTGACCGACCCACACCTGAACAGTGTCCCCTGCCCACTGTGGCCCGGGGCAGCTCCGTGGGCAGGAGGACTTCCCGGTGATTCCTGGAGTTTAGGATGCTTTTCTTCTCACGGGGAGAATTTCTCCAGCTTCCTGGACTTTGAGGACTGGGTGACTTTAGGGGAAACTTCTGGATCATGGGGAAGGGCTTAGTGTGGGGAGAGTGTGTCAGGAGAAGGGAAGTGGCTTTAGTGAGTTCAAACTTCACTTTTCCCAGGGCCAGGGTCCTTCCAAATGTTGTGAGCAGGTGGGGTCTATGTGTGTTCAGGCAACAGTGTACATTCACAAGCCCCCTAGACCCCCTGCCCCCACCTGCCTTCCCCCACATCCTGTCTGGTCTGTCCTTCCGCTTCAGGGTCCGTCAGAGACCACCTGGGGCCTCTCCCAAGGCCGCCTCACTCTACCCTGTACAAGAGATAGCTCCCTTTTTAAAAAATGGAAGCGAAATTCATAAAACATAAAATTGATGATTTTATTATTTTTTAAGTTTACTTATTTATTTTGAAAGAGAAAGAGTACAAACAGGGGAGGGGCAGAGAGAGGAAGACAATCCTAAGCAGGCCCTGTGCTGTCAGCACGGGGCCCTACGCAAGTCTTGAAGTCACGAACCGTGAGATCATTTGACCTGAGACAAAATCAAGAATCAGACACTCAACCCACTGAGCCACACAGGCGCCCCCAAAATTCACCGTTTGAACGTGAGCAAGTCAGTGGTTGTTGGGACGTTTGCAGTGTCGGAGCATTTCCATTTCCCCAGCAGCAGCCCCTGCGCCCACTCAGCTGCCCCATGCCCTCAGCCGGCCTGGACCCCGTGGTTCGGCCCCGTGGGTGTGACTGCTGGCCTGCGGCACGCGGCCCCCATACATCGGGCTGCTCGCCCCCCGCACGGTGTTCTGGAGGTTTGTCCACATTACAGCACATCCACGATTCCTTTTAACGTTGTGTTTTGATGTGACTTCAGGCCAGGACACCGGCAAGGAGTTCCCGCATCACCTGCGGGTGCTTCCCTGCATGTGAGCGCTTGGCCAGCCTGCTCCGTCCTCTGCCATGTGTACGCTGCCACTGTGCCAGGCCATCTGAGGCTTCTGCCCCTCCACGTCCGACGAAGTCCGTGTGCGTCCCTGAAAAGCACGAGTATCGTGTGACCCCCGTATGGTGACCAGAGTCAGAAAGTTAACATTGTTTTACCCAGTCTAAACCTGGGTTCGTGGCTTACCGATTTCCCTCAATCATGGTATTTATAGCAAAGGAAAATGTATTTTTTCTGGCTATAAGAGCCACTCCAGCTGACGCTTCTGGAACACGGAGGGCTCAGTGCTGGTCAGTGTTGCTTGTCCCCCACACCAGCAGTGGCTTCTGTTCCCGTGTCCGTCTAACAGAGGGGAAAGCAGAGCCCAGGCTGGTGTGGGAATGCTGCCCAAGGCCTCCCACTGCTGGGAGCCTGATTGCCAGGCTCAGGGCGAGCACCTGCGATGGGAACTGCATGGACGGGGCAGCCCCTGAGCGCCTTTCCCGAGAGGCTCTCCATGACTGCACAGAAAACAGTGTGGAGGCCAAGGGCTAGCTCACGCCATGGAAGCTTACGCCCTGGAGAGTGTGCTGGCCTGAAGCTGGGGTGCCTGACTCCCCAGGAGCCTCTGGGCAGCCCTCGCCACCAGACACCTGCTTCCAAAGCTGTGGACCGAGGGAGGGCGTGGCCTGGTGGCCCAGCAGCCAGCTGGCCAGGTTTGGGGTCTGTCCAGCCTTGTCCTGGGGACTTTGGGCTCTCCCCTGGTACCCTCTCCCTCCCCCAGCCCCAGAGCTCCTCCTAGAGTAAACAGAGCTGATGGGCCTCTAATGGCCCTGCACCCCCACCCCCTGGGAGAGGCTCTTTGAACCTCCCCATCCCCAGAGGCTCTCACGCACCTTGCTTCCCCACCAGGGGCAGTGGGGGGAGAGGTGAATCCCACTGGGAGAAGCAGGAGCAGGCTGCAGAGCTGGGAGTGGGGGGCAGACCGGTGAGGAGTGGATGCATTATGTACACTCAGGGCCGCCTGGGGGAGCACAGCCCCTGCCCTCCTTCTTTCAGTTCATCAAAGGTCACCTTCCTGCAGAGCCCAGAGGGCATCCTGCTGGCTCTTAGCTGGAGTGCCTCTGTCCTGGCCTTGGTGTGAGGGACTCGGTGTCGATTGGGTGCTGGTGTTGGGGGTGCTGGGAAGCAGAGCCAGCAGGCCTGAGGGGCTTACAGTTGTGACTTTGGGGTGCAGTAGCCTGGAGAGGCTACTCCCCTGCATAGAAGTGAAGAGGATGCCTGGGAGTGGAGCCCCGGATGGCCCTCCCAGCTGAGCAGCCCTCTGGCCCCGTGGGTGAGCCTGGATCCTTGAGGGTACATGGAGACTGCCTGGGCTCTGTGAGCAGCCCCCTCACTGCTCCTAGATGGTGGTGCTCATGGACCCCAACGAGGACCCGGAGGACACGCTGCGTGCACACCGATCGCGGGAGAAGACCTTCATTTTTGACACCGTTTTCGACCAGCATGCATCACAGGTACCCCCTGGCCCATGGCCTCCCACGTCCTCCCCTCAGGCCAGGCTGGCATGGTACCCTCTCCAGGCCCTGGAGCCCCCACCCCCACCCCACCCCCCCACAAGGACCTGGCAGGCAGGTGGCCCCATCCGAAACTTTCACTGACGAGCAGGAGGCAGCACACTGGCCACCCAGGGGCAGGTAGCGGGAGGCCCCTCCCACAGTGGCGGGGTTTCACACATCTTCTCATTCATCTGTCTAGGCGATGAGCAGTGTCCCCTCTGCCCTGTGGGAAGGGCATACTCCCGTCCTGGGGGACCCCAGCCCCGGCAGGGGAGACAGGATGAGTGAGCAGGGGCGAATTGGGCTCAGCGGCCAAGAGCTAGAACTGATGGATGGGTGAGGGGTCCCAGCAGGGCTTGGGCGCCCCCCCACCCCCCCACCACACACACACAGAGGAAGAGCCCAGCCTCCCGGAGATCCCGTGAGGTCAGCGCGGGGGTTTGGACCCAGCATCAGGCCAGACTCACCAGTGCCCTTAGCTACAGATGGAAGGCCATCCAGCATGTCACCTGACCCTCACCTGTGAGACAGGTCTTGTCACCCCATGCTACAGAGGGGAGCCCTGCAGAGCAGGATTGAGCCCAGGCGCCCGGAGGCGGGACTGTCATGCGCCAGGATGATGATGTCTGGGGCTGTTTCACCCCAAGATAAAGCCTGGCGAGGGACACGGGCTCTGTGCTGATGTCAGCCCTGCACCCAGGTGATTGCCCCTCCCAGGTGAAGCAGAGCCCTGAGGCCCTTCCTCGCACTCCGTGCCACCCTTCCAACTGCCTGGGAACTACCGGCTTCTGCCTGTCTGTATCCCAGCTCCTGACGAAGCAGACTGACCTCCCCAAAGCTGGGATGGGAGATGACCACTCTCTGCCATCTGTCCCAGCTCTGGGTGAACAGGGGTCTGTGAGCAGATGCGTGCGCATTTTTAGTCTTATGTGGGGGAGGGGCTGCGGGCACCTGAAGGCCCCACAGGCTAATGTCCAGACGGCCCGCTCACTCGGCCATCCATCAGTGGCTGCACTGGGGCCTGGAGCTTGCTGGGGCTTCTCCCTGGGGCTTGGGCTCCCTCACAGCACGGTGGCCTCGGCCCCACGAAGGCAGGGTGGAAGCCGCCAGACTTAGGGGCTCGGCCATGGCCGGCACAGCATGGAACAGGCCACTGCAGCCCCAGGGAGGGAGCCAGACTCCACATGTCAGTGGGAGGAGCCTCCAGAGCCTGTGGCCCTCCTGATTCCCTTGCTGGCCGCCCCGCTGGGCCCTGGTGGCCGAGTCTGCATGGACAGCACCGCGGGGCCTGTTGAGGACACACCCGCCACCTGATGGCCCTGGGAGCGACCTTCCCGTGGGACTTGGCTGTGGTCATAAGGAGACCCAGCCTCTGTGGAGCAGAGATTTTTACTCTGCTCCTTTACTCTCGAGATTGCAGCCGGTCGGTGATGGGAGGGACCTGGCCCTCAAGGCCTGCTGCCTGGCTGTCCCCACATGCCAAGTGCTGTCCTCGAGGGCTCGACGTGCCTTGTCTCGCGAGCTTCTCAGCAACCCTCTAAAACATATAGACATGATCCCCATTTTACAGATGGGGAAACCAAGGCTGTCTGAGCTCACACAGGCCCGGATCATAGATCCTGATGGTGTAAGTCCAGAGCTGAGGAAAGCAGTACGGGACGGTGCCTCTAGCTTCCATGAGCCGTGTGAGCAGCCAAGGCTATGGGGACAATTCTGTGACATGAAGAGCAGGGTCCAGAGTGGGTGCCGTATAAGGGCATGGAGGGGGGACTGTCATTTCTGTCTAATCCAGCCAAACCTACAGCCCTGGAGGTACCCTTCCTTGAATACCCCCGTGGACAGGGAGCTCATTTCCGCACCTATTGCTAGGCACTGCTGCCTTACCTGAACTGCTGCTGTCCTGAAACTCTGACCCCTCGGTGCTGGTTTTGCACCATAAAGAGGAGTCCTGTCTCCACAGGCACATGGCCTGTTGTCGCTGTCCGGTCTCTGCCTTCTGTATAATTTCTCTCAGTTCCTGAGAAGCCCTGGAAAGGACTCGTCAGTGCCCAGCACCCAACGCATGTCAGGCTCTTGTTGGGAGTGGTTACACACACTCCTGCATAACCCTTCTTGGAAGCTACTCTGGGAGCCCGGCCCCGTTTCACCCCATGGGGCTGCATAGCAGGGTGGGCACAGAACCCCATGCCATGTCTACACTCCCATCCTTCTGGAGGTCCCTGGCCACGCATAGAGGGAACAGGACACTTGCAGACGTCACATGTTTGTCCTCTCTGGCAGCTACGTGCCCTGACTCTGTCTGGGCCATGCGCTCCGCTGTCTGTCCTTCTGTTCATCCACAGGAAGACATGTACCGTGCCACCACCCAGCACCTAGTGGAAGGCGTCATTTCTGGATACAACGCGACAGTGTTTGCGTACGGCCCCTCAGGTACGGCTCAGGGCAGCGTCCCGCAGAGGGGACTGGGTGGCAGGAGCATGCTCTCCCCGACCACACAAAGCGCTTGCCGTGCGCCACTGTCCCTGGCTCCTTCCATCCTGGGAGGAGCCCCCAGAGGTGTGGCCATCTCCTTTCCACATTCAGCTCGGCAGAGCTGAGTCTCAGGTAAAGTGGCCTCCCCAAGGCCACACAGCTGGGAGGAGTGAATCTGGGACTCAGCCAAAGCCTGCACCTTGCTGCCTGTGAGAACCCACAGACGTCTTCTCCGTAACAGCTGGCTGGGCCCGACACAGCTCCCCAGCACTCAGCTGCCTCTCACGTCCCGAAGGCTGGAGTCGCAGAGGGCCAGGGCAGATGGGGAGACTGAGGCCCAAGATGCGCCTTGCCCAGAGCCACAGCCTGTTTAATCCCTTCATTCAGCAGGAGTTAGGGAACGCCTACCCCGTGCCCGGTTCTGGCATTCGGGGAGCAGGTTGGGGGGTGGACGCTTTGTAACAAGAGCTGTACGATGGTCCTGTGACCAAAAAGACAACAGCAGCTCCGGCCTGGGGAGGAGCAGGTGCTCCCAGTGCCCCCCGTCCCCACCATCTGCGTCCTAGCTTAGACCCCGCCCTCCCTGCATCCATGGATCCTCCCGCATGGGAGCCACCAGCCTCGGGTCTCTCTCATGCCTCCTGTGATGGGAGATGAGTGTGTCCGTGTGTCAGGACCATCTGTCCAGCACGGGTAGACGTGGGGACGGTCTCCTGGGGGCATGCCTGGGCGGGGCCAGAGCCCACTCAGGAGGCCCCGCCCGGCTGGGCGCCCTGCCATCCACAGGTGCAGGGAAGACGCACACCATGCTGGGCATGGACGCGGAGCCGGGCATCTACCTGCGGACCCTCAGCGACCTGTTCCGGGCCATCGAGACATGCGGCTGTGGGGACTGCAGTGTGTCCATGTCGTACCTGGAGGTGAGCCGCCCTCTGCCTCTGTGCCCTGTGAGCAGCAGGGTGTTCGTGCACAGAGAGCCTGTGTAGCCCCCAGATCCCCCTTGCCGGGGACACTCAGCCCTCAGCACGTTCCCTGCAGACGCAAGGCCCCATGATCCGTGACACCAAGCCCTCTACTTCCTCTGCACCAAAGCCGCTCAGCCTTCTGGCTTTTGTTTCCCCTCCCAGATTTACAACGAAGTGATCCGGGACCTCCTGAACCCGTCCTCAGGCTTCCTGGACCTGAGGGAAGATTCTCGGGGCAGCATCCAGATCCCGGGCATCACGGAGGTCTCCACCTCTAACGCGCAGGAGGTGAGGGTCCTGGGGTCCCCGGAGGGAGGCGGGCCTCAGACTGGGCCGCTGCGCTCCCACAGCTCACGGGGTGGAGCTGGACATACAGCTTCAGCCATTTCTGGCCGAGGGGATGCTGCGCCAGCACCCACAGCCCCCTCCCCCAGCCCGCGCTCAGGGCAGACTTCACCAATACGCCACCCATTCCCCTCCGCGGCGCCCCAGCCTGTCAGGGTCAGCTGCAGGCTTGAAGCCACTTGTCCAGAGCAGGCGTGTCGTCCACTAGCCCGCAGCCCTCTGTCTTGTCCATCCGCCCCCCACTCCCCTTGCTGGCCCACACCCTACACTGCCCTCGGGGTGGGCCTCCTGCCTGCTCGAGATCCCTGTGCCTCCTTCTTGCCCCCGGGTCCTGCACAGTTGCCTCAGGATCCGGCCACGTGCCCTTAGCAGTGCCCTCATGGGTTCAGGTCAGGGAGGCAGCCTTCCTGCTTGTTCTTCGCAATGACACTGTGTCAGTGTCCTCCTCCCAAGTGCTCCCAGCACCGCCTGGCACATGGCAGGGACCCCACCATGTGGGACCCCACCAACCTCTCTGGCCTGATCCCCAGAGCAGTTTGCACACAAATGGGTTTCAAACCAACCCACCACCTCCAGGGAGTCCACACAACTGCAGGGGTCTGTGTGAGAGGTTCTGGGACTGCCCCTGGCTCGAGGGCACAGGCGGGCAGGAGCCCCCCCCCACCATGATGTCCAGGAACACCCCTGGTTCTGGGCACAGGCGGGAGGCCCCCCGGTGATGTCCGGGTCCACCCCTGGTTCTGGGGCCCAGGCGGACAGGAGGCCCCCTGTGATGTCTGCTGCGGGTAGAGGAGGGAAAGCGGTACAGGTGTCCGCATCTGCCATTCCTGCCTCCACCGGACAAGTTCTGTTGGCCAAGAGGACTGGTGTCCTCTCCTGCCCGTGGTTCTGCAAGGTGCACATGGCCTCTCGGAGCCCCTGCCCCTGCCCCCCAACACCCCCTGTGTCCTCAGATCATGCAGCTCCTCACCAAAGGCAACCGGCAGCGCACGCAGGAGCCCACGGCCACCAACCGGACGTCGTCCCGGTCCCACGCTGTGCTGCAGGTCACCGTGCGGCAACGGAGCCACGGCTCCCCCCTGGCGGAGGAAGTGCGCGTCGGGAGGCTCTTCATGGTGGACCTGGCGGGCTCTGAGCGGGCGTCGCAGGTTCTGTCCACCCTCGCACCCGTCACGCTGTCCCCAGTCCCTCTGGCCTGTGAGCGGGGCCCCTTCTTGTCCAACCCCGCTCCGCAGAGCTGCCCGCTAGGCTACCGGCTACAGTTACGGTTACAGAGGGAGTGAATTCTCAGCACTGAGCAGCGGAGCCCACTGAACCATGGTTTGTAAAGTCACAGCTCCCGAGTGGCAGGCTCTCTTGACACACCCTCCGAGCTCCAAGCCTCTGTGGGGAAGACGTGCATGAGCAGATGGTTACGGCTTGGGTAGGCCGTATGGAGGGTCCACACGGAGGCTGCAGGAGCCCAGAGGAGAGCATGGTGATGGTGTGGGGTCATCAGGGGTTGGGTGGAGGGTACAAGGAAGGGTGTGTCAGGTGGAGGGAACAGTATGCATAAAGCCCGGCTGTTGGGAGGACGGTGCCCAGCTTACTCCTGCCCGACGTGGCCATGCCCCAACGTGGCCGTGCCCCAACACTCCCTCCGAGGGCCCTGCCTGCCCGCCCCTGAGCCCCTGGCTTGCCTAACATTTATGGCACCTGTCGCTGGAAACAGGGCTGTGCTTACCCTCTGCTGCCCTGGAAGGCTGAGCCTTCCTCGAGGGTGGGACCCAGCCCAGGGCCAGGTGCAGAGAAGGTGCTTGACGGGGGCCAAGTCAGTCATGTTATCAACCAACGACATTTTACAGGTCCCCAAAGACCAGGCCCTTAGTAGGCACAGTCCCTGTAACCCCTTCCCCCTAGCACAATGTAGGGTAGGCAGCACACGTTGGGCCGGGATCTGGTGGGGTGTAGACCCCAGCAGGGCATGGACCCAGGCTTCAGGCATGGGGGTGTCAGGCCCAGGGGCATCGGCCAGGATCCCTGCCTTTCGCTGCTGGGATGTTTGTGCTTCCGGTCTGCACCACGTGTTCTGTTTTCAGGGCTTTCGATCACAGAGTTGTTTCAGCATCTGTTGGCTGCCCTGCCCCTGCCGTGCCCCTGCCCTGCGGAACTGAGCAGGCCCTCGCCAGCTGCCAGAGTCAGGCTGGCGTGGGATGTAGCGTGTTTGCAGAAAGTGTGTGGCACGGCAGGACATCAGGAGACAACAGCCGTGGGAAAGGTAGTCTTTACAGTCAGAAGAGGAAGGGCCACAGATGCCACACAGGGCCACACGGGGAAGCCCCAGGGCTGGTCAGGAGGCCGAGGCACATGGGCCTTGGCCAGAGTGTACTGTGGTTTCCACGGGAAGGAGTGGGGAGGCAGGGCGAGTAGGCTGAGGACCGGCCAGTCTGGGTAATTCCAGTGGGCTGGGGGCTTGAGGGCTGTCCAGGCTCTGGTCCCTGGGGGGTTAGGGCTGGGGGACAGAGGCCCAGAGTGTAAGGTGGGGGGGGGGGCGTGGGCTAAGGGTCGGTTGGTTGCATTTGGAAGACGGCTCCTGGGTGAGTGGTTGGTCATCTCCAGGAACCAGCTGAACCGTGGGGGCGTGGCAGCGCCTCCAGGCTCCACAGGGGCTCCGGGTGTGAAAGCATCAGAGTACAGAGAGTACAGGCCGTGCTTGACACACAGACAGCTGTGGGTGTGACAGGTTTGTGCACGGGCAGCCCAATGTGATGAAGGTCTGGGATCTTGGCCCATTCTAGCTGGGTTTGGCCGTGTCCTCGGGGGACAAGATGGAGGGGTTTCCAAAGGGAGGTCTGGGGTCTGTGTCCTTTTCTCACTCTGTTCTGACTTGCTGTGTGCCTTTGGCCAAGCCACCTCCCCTCTCTGGACCTTGGCTTTGTTTTAGCTGTATATTCGAGTGGCCTACGTGGGCTACTTGTAGAACCTGCTTGGCTTTTGTGAGCTGTGATTTCTTCAAAGAAAATCACTCATGAAGGAGTCTCTTCCAGGGTACAAGGTCTCTGAGAAAGGCCCCCAGCTCTGTGACACAGACACATGACATGGGCTGCTGCCCTGGCTCCGGCCACACCAACAGCTCTGGTCCTACCCTGCACCAGCTCCCACTTAATGAAAACAGTAGCTGGCGTTTACTGCTTGCTTCTTTGGGCGCAGGCCCTAGCTGGCCTGTTGCACATCTTCTGCGCTGAATCCTCACCGTAACCCTGTGAAGTTGGAAGATTGCCCCTTCTGGCAAATAAGGAAGCTGGGACAGACTGGGACATCTGTCAGAGATTTCTCAGGCCGTGCTCCCAGTTGGCTTTCTATGCCTTTAAAGAGAAAATGTTCTTTTACCTTGATTCAAATGTACTAGAAACACAGTGCAGAAAATGTGGAAAATACAGATAAGGGGAAGAAAGAGTCCCCACGGTACCTGCCCTCAGAGGTGCTCGTGCTGACGGCAGTTTGGCGCCTCTATCCACCTTCACGCGGGCAGCCCCTGCTGTGGGCTGGGCGCTGCGGTGTCCCAGGCTCCAGGGCTATGTGGCCCCCATGGGGGCCAGGATCCCATGGGAAGCATCCAGGAAGATGTTGAGTGTGTAAAGGAGCATGGCAGCTGCCAGGGGAGTTAAGTGGTGAAGGAAAGAGGGGGCGAGGCTGGCTACCATGGCCCCTCGATTCAGAGAGCAAGGTGGGGGTGCCTCTGTAGGAGGGGAAGGGCAGGAAGGTTCCAGCATGGGGGGGCCACCTGCATGAACTCACATGCCCGTCTGTTCCTCATCAGAGTGGGTTGTGGGGCACAGACCTCCCTTTCACCCATGTCTTACCTCATTCATTTCTTGGTGAGCAGCTGGGCCCGGCCACACCCCGCCCTGGCGGCACAGGGCTCTGCGCACAGTCCCGCCACCTACTTACAGGCCTCAGGCTGTCAGGAGAGCAGGGGTGGCCCCCTGGGTGGGAGGGGTCAGTGCACTGCGTGGACCTCATCCTCTCCTACCCAGACCCAGAACCGTGGCAAGAGGATGAAGGAGGGCGCCCACATCAACCGCTCCCTGCTGGCACTGGGCAACTGCATCAATGCGCTCAGTGAGAAAGGCGGCAGCCGGGTGCAGTACGTGAACTTCCGGGACAGCAAGCTCACACGCCTGCTGAAGGTACCGCTGCAGCAGCTGCCTGCATCCTGTGTCATCCAGGCTTCTCTGTGGGGAGCGGGAGGCCCAGACACGGCTCCCAGGACCCCCAGGGCGGGAGAGCACTGTAAACCCCAACCATCGCTAGTCACTGCCTGATTCCCGCTCCATCCCTCTGAGTATGCACCGGCCAGAGGCTTGCATACTCCCAGAGACAGGGAGCTCACTACCTTACTGAGGCCACCTGTCCAATCTTGGACAGTCTGTCAGTGAGACCCTGTCCTCTCCACTAAGCTGGGTGCTGTCCTCTCTGTCCCATAGCAAGAGCATGAGTAAACAAATGGGCAAAGCACTAAATGCACGTCTCTGCAGGTCCAGCCTCTCTGTCTGCTCCGTTCTCATCAGAGCAGAAGTCTGATGGGGTGGCCCTGGGGCAAGTCTCACTGTGGCCTCCCCCCACCGTGCCCCTCCCCGAGCACCACACCCTTGGTCCCTCAGGGTTTGGAGCAGGAATTCAGAGGCGAGTCCCCGCAGTGGGGCGGGCACTGGGGGGCCTGTTCGCATCACCCCCAACTCGGACCCTCTGCTGCGCAGGACGCCCTGGGAGGGAATAGCCGGACAGTGATGATCGCGCACATTAGTCCAGCCAGCACCCACTTTGAGGAGTCCCGGAGCACCCTGCTGTATGCCTATAGGGCGAAGAACATCAAGACACGGGTGAGGCCCTGCCTGTCTGCTCCCCTGCTCCCCTGCTGGCTGGATTCTCACTCGGGGCTCCCTCTGGAGCCTCCTTTCCACCCCAGGTCTCCTGGCGGCCGTGGCCCTGTGACCGCCTGCCTCCAGGCTCTGCCGCCATCTTTCCATCTCATCTTAAGATTCTTAATCACATCTGCAAAGACCCTCTTTCCAAATGAGGCCCTGTTAGCAGGGTTCAGGGGTTCAAGATGTAGATTGACTTACCCGTTAGCCAGGCATGCTCTGAGCTCTTGCTGTCTGGGTTTACTTACCCCTTCACACCCTCTCCCTGGGAGGTAGGCCTGTCATCCTGCTTTACAGACCAGGCAGCTGGCACGGAGAGAGGCTCCAATGTTCAGGCTCCAGGGACCACACCTCGGGCCCCTCCTGCCTTTGGCTGTGGCTGTGCTCCGCGTAGAGGGTGCGCACATGTCTAGTGGCCATTAAGTAAAGGGGACGCTTATGGGGATGAGCCCATCCCAAAGCGTGGCCCTGAGCTAGGCACCAGGGTGGCCCCTGCTCTCGGCCAAGCTTTGGGCATAGCAGTGGGCGAGACCGATGGAGCACCATGATTCCCACACATAGATCTGTCACTTCTGGTTGGAGCCAGTGCTCTTCATGACAGCCGCAGGGTGTGGCAAGGGAGAGTGATGGAGGAGAGAGAGTTTAGGGGGTCGGTCCAGGATGCTGGACCCTACGTGGGGAGGAGCCGTGGGTGTGCAGACTGAGGGTGTGCACACGTAAGTGTGTGTGCCTTGTGACCCGCTTCACGCTCACATCCACCAGAGGCAAACTGGGACCTGCGTGCTCCCGAATGCTGTGTCACTGAAAGCTCCAAAGTGCCCGTCCAAGGGGACAGGGCCAGCAGGCAGGTGCATCCTTGCCAAGGACTGCTGGGTAGCCATTACAGAGGGCAGGGTAGACCCATCTAGGCAGACGGACCCCCCCCCCCCCCCACTGCACTGGATGAGGGAAGCAAGGAAAAGAACGTCTGGGGGGGGTGGTCTCTGCCAGCTCTGCTGGGGGAGCGAGTGACTCTTCGTCTCAGGGGGGTGAGTTTGAGCCCCACGTGGGGCATGGAGCCTACTTAAAATTTTTTTAAAAGAATACCAGCCCTGGTCTGATATAATTTACAGAAAAGCACAAAGCCAAGCCTGTTATACCAAGAAACTCCACACATGTGTCTCTGTAGATATGTGTCTACCTATGGAACCACACGGAGCAAGGCCCAGGGGCACACGCCCAGGTGGTCACCATGGACACCTACAGGGAGGGCCTTCAGGGAAGCTCTTGAAGGGTCATTTGAATTTTCTGTATTGTGGCAAAATCCGTGTGACATAAAAATTACCATTTTAACCAATTCTAAGTGAACAGCTCAGGAGCACTGAGCACAGTCACACTGCTGTGCGGCCGTCCCCACTGCCCGTCTCCGGAATGTTCCATCTCCCCACATGGAGACCCTGTCCCCATTACACACGGACCCCCACTCACTCCCCCGGCCCCACCATCTACTCCGTGTCTGAGTCTGACGACATCAGGACCTCATGTGGCTGGGTCCCGGTGCGTGTCCTTCTGTGTCTGGCTTGTGTCACTCAGCATTGCATTCTTGGCGTTCATCCTCATGGTGGCAGGTGTCTGAGTTTCCTGTCTTTTTAAGGCTGAGTTGCACTATCTGAATTTTCATGACGAAAACGGGCTGGTGTGGTTGTAGCACAAACACACCCCTAGGCGGGTCAGCCTGGCTCGCTCTGACCGTGGCCGTGTCCCACCCACCAGGTTAAGCGCAACCTGCTGAACTTGTCCTACCGCATCACGCAGTATGCGGACGTCATCTCCACCCTGCGCAGGGAGATTGAGCGCCTCAAGTCCAAAATCGAGAAGCAGGAGAAGAGAGGGGACCCCAGCGTCCAGGACACACAAGGTAGAGCCGAGCTCCCGGAGCCTAGGGCACGTGGCCGTGGCTGTGGACTTCTGTCCCAGGCCGCCACGTGCTGCCCATCACTCCCTGGCCTGCAGAGCGTGGGGAGCAGCTGCCTCCTCCACCTTCTCCTAATCTCTCCCTTCTTTCCTTCTCACCCTCCCACTATTTTGTTTTTTCCTTTGTCTTAGATCAGTTGTTCTTTAAAAACACAAATGAAAGTTGCAGAGAAAGTACAGAGTCCTCTGCCTCCCCTGATGTCAGCATCTATGTTATTTACTTATTTATTGAGGCAGAGCTACACGTAACAGAACTCACCTTTTGTTTTAAGTTTGTTTATTTTGAGAGAGAGAGAGAGAGAATGGGGGAGGGACAGAGAGAGGGCGAGAGGGAATCCCAAGTAGACTCCAGGCTCAGCACAGAGCCCAACTTGGCACTCAGCCTCATGAACTGTGAGATCATGACCTGAGCCACACTTGAGAGTTTGATGCTTATTAACCCACCGAGCCACCTAGATGCCCCTAAAAATCTCCATCTGAATGTGCACAATTCACTGGCATTTGGAATTTCCACAGAGTCATGGGTTCAGCCCTCCATCTGGCCCCAAAGCAAACCCCGTGCCTGGCATGCACTTTTTCTCTGTCCCCTTCTCTCCCCACCGGCTTTATTTAGCCTTCCCTTAGGGGTGAGCACATCAGCACTTTTCCATAAAGTTATAGAATTAATCAGTAAGTTAAAGTAACCATAAGAACGGCAGTAAGGAAGAGTGCATATGTACATAGACACGCACATACTACACAGACACGTTCTCTTGGCTAATTGAGGCTTTGCCGTAGTAAATAAAGATAGTTTGAAAATCAGCAAGAAAGAATAATTGGTCCAAAGCTGAGGAAAATAATGCTACTCAGAGAATCCCTAGTGGCTGATAAACATAGGAGAAGATTCTTAATTGCGTTAGGAAACAGAAAACATTGAGACAAATTTCCCTTGTGGGATTGGCTACAGTTAAAATGCCAGGTCGCAGTAAGTGGATGGTATAAAGTACAGTCTGTAAGTGGCAGCTGACACTCCTACCAGGAGCGTGAATCAGTGTGTGTGGGGGCAGCCGGCCTACCATCTATGCAAACTGGCAGCGGTGTGCTCTGCGCCTCAGCCCTCCACGCCTCAGCCCTCCATGCCTGTGCCCGGGTGCCTGTGGGATGGGGAGTGCCCTTTGAAGGGGGCGCGACCCGCACCCTGGGGCGACCCCCATGGCAGTTGTGGAGGGTGGGGTGGGCCCATCTGTGCAGCTGGGCCCTCGAGGGCATGTCGCCTGGCCCTGGTCCAATCCATTCACCCGCCACAGGCCCCACGTGTGTCTCTATTTACACGCACGGGCACAGCCCCCACAGAACATGATTCTGAAGGACACACATGCATTGGTTGCCGTGGTTTTCTATGGGTGGATATCTGGAATTTGGGGGGCAAAGACCAGATGATGAAGAGGGGCTTCAGCCTTGACCTATAATTCGAATTTTTCTTTTTTTTTTTAAATTTTTTTTTAATGTTTTTTATTTCTAGGAGAGAGAGAGAGACAGCGTGAGCAGGGGAGGGTCAGAGAGAGAGGGAGTCACAGATTGAAACAGGCTCCAGGCTCTGAGCCGGCAGTCAGCACAGAGCCCGACGCGGGGCTCGAACCCACGAACCGTGAGATCATGACCTAAGTGAAAGTCGGACGCTTAACCGACTAAGCCACCCAGGCACCCCTAATTCGAATTTTTCTGACAGGACTGCATTCCCATATTGCTCATGCACATACCACGTATTATAAAACCGTGGTACTGTGTGTTCACGACACACAACTTGCTGCATGCTGCCAAGTACAGGAGAAACCAGGCCTCAGCTGCAGGCCCGCAGTGCGGGGCTGGTTCCCACCTGACTCTTCAGTCGATGAGCACATGCACCCACCACCCTACATGCGCCCCACAACCGGTGGGGGAATCATGCTCCTCACTACTGGTTGGGGGCCTGCTATGGAATGGGCACCCTTCTCAGCGAGGTCCAGATGGCCCTGTCCTCAAGCAGCGTGCACTCTCATGGATGGGAGGGAGACAGCAATGAGTGGGATGGGGTGTGAGACCGTGAAGCTGGGCAGGGTGGGAGTTGGAGGTGAGGAGGCCATCGGAGCTCAGCCGTGTGCAGGGGCCTCTCTGAGGAGGTGGCCTCTCGCTGTGTTAAGGAAAGAGCCATACACAGACCGGGGGCCAGAGTCTTCTGGCCGAGGGGACAGCACGTGTAAAGGGCCTGGGGAGGAGAGCAGGGGCGGGGGTATGGCTAGTGCTGAACCGGAGCCCGGGCTTATCCTGAGCGTAAGGGCCCAGGGAGGCCCAGCAGGTGAGCAGGGGAGCGATGTCAGGGACCCCCTTGAGATGTGCAGTCGGAAGTAGAAGCCAGACCACATGAGAGAGCGGTTTCCTTCCGTGTGTTGCCTGGGAGGATTCCCCGTGGTGACGGCTTAACCCGGCGGACATGGCAGGGGTCGAGGGGAGGCCCAGGGCGACCATCGCGGACCGCCGTGAGTGCCCAGGAAAGGAGGCGGGTTGAAAATGCTCATGGTCTGTGATGGGATTTCCAGCCCTGGGGGTGGCAGGGCGGAGAGAAAGGCCGGCAGGGTGGGGCAGAGCCACCACTGCAGCCGCTCCGGTGACCCGCAGGGGGCGCCGTGGAGGTGGGTCCCAGAGGACAGGCGTCAATACCGCAGCCTCTGAGGGTTGGGGAGTCAGCAAGCATAAGGAGAGGGCCGTGCAGAGGAGAAACTGCGGGACTAAGCATGGATGCCATCCCTGGGGAAGGGACAGTGGCATCGGGAGCCCTGGCCAGAGGGTCTGTGGGTTTCCGCTCCCGTCCGCTGTTCTCTCCTTCCTCGCACCAGCTGTGGGTTTAGTTTGTTCTCCCTTTCCTGGTTCCCCGAGGTCACTGCCATCATTTTGCTGTGTACCCATCTGGGTTGTGCTCCCCAGAGAGGAACAGCTGGTTTATAAGCATGTGTGTGTGAGGGGCAGGGGCATGGCTTCGCGTTTTTACCTCACGACGCCAGCCTGTAGCTGTGCCCGGGGTTTCTCAAGCAGCCGTGTGTCCTGGGGCCACCCATCTCTACACGGTCCGCCCCTTCTCGCGGTGGCAGAGCGGTCCACAGGCCCACACTAGAGCCTGCAGTATCTCGTACCCTTCCACGGGCACTTTGGGGCTTTCTAGTTACACGGACGCCTCTTTCTCTCACTTCTCTCCGGTGACTCGGAGGCTCGGTTTCTGTTGGAGCAAGAGGGTGAGGGGGCCAAACAGGAGGGGCTGTCATTGAAGGCAGCTGAATCCCAGGGGACCAGTGGAGGGCTGGGGGGCTGCAAGTGTGGAGGGCAGCGCTGTCGTGGAGAATTTGCAGAGCTAGCTGTTGGCCTGGGTCCTTGGGCTTCATCAGGGCCGGGGGTCAGCTGGGATGCCTGGTAAGAGGGCCTTCACCCTGATGGCCTCCTAATTAGTGGGACTGGTCCTAGGTGGTCTGCAGTGGGGAGATGAGCAGTGTCCTGAGGGGGGTGGTGTCAGGGTGAGCCTGGAGGGCATCGCTGGCTTCTCTGGGGTCCCTCTCTGGCACACCTGGGGCAGCACTATGGCACGCCGGGATCATTATGAGTATTCACGGGATACCAAGTACTCCCCAGAAGCCTTGCTCGGTTATCTGGATGCACTGTGTATTTCACCCACCTCCCATCGCTTGACCACTGCCCTCAGGTCAGAGCAACGGGCTGCACGTGTCCCGAGTGGAGCTCCCAGTGGGGCAGTCAGGGACCACGATCAGTGAATCATGACAGCCATTAGTTAGGAACTTATGTGGAAACGAAAGGACAAAACTAGTTTGTTCTGTAGACCTTACATCCTACCAGGAAAGGGAGATGTCAAACATTTATCACAAAGTGTTTATCAATTATCGATATCGAGGACTGTGAAGGAGAAGGTATGATGTTATCAGAACAAGTGGCAGGTGGACCCAGATTGAGAATCTTGGAGGGTTTCCCTGAGGAAGTGAGGTCTGAACTCAGATAGCTAGCCCAGCCACACCTCTCCTTGGATTCCTGAGACTCAAATCCAGGTAACCTGACCCCAAACCAGGCAAGGAAACTATGTAAATCATCCACCCAGTTATCTATCTATTCATCCATCCATCCATCCATCCATCATCTACTCGTCAATCCATCTATCCATTATTCACCCATTCATCTATCCATTTTCATCTACTCATCCATCTATCCATCCACTCCATCCATCCATCCATCCATGGATGTACATAGAGCTTCTCCTTGGGTCAGACCCTGTGTTGGTGGGCAACCATAGAGTTTGACCCTGGCTTGGGTGGCGCTGCTTCTGGCACAGCTGGCTCTCTTCCTGTCCCTAGTCAGGATCCCCTTGCACAACGGAGAGGACAGCCGCCAGCAGATGAACAAAATCCGGGCACAGCTCATCGGGGCCTTCAAGGAGCAGCTGGAGATGCGGCGCAGCCTGGTGGAGCTGGAGAACACCAATATAGAGCTGCATGTGGACCTGTCCCGCCACCTGCTGACCATTGCAGAGTGAGTGCTCCCACTTCCCTGGGCTGGGGCGCCTCCCTCCCTGTGGGCAGGGGCCCAGCCAGGACATGAGGGGTGCTGGTGGGAGCTCCTGTGTGCCCTCATCAGCCCCTCTCTACTGCCTGCAGGGCCCCGGCAGGGACTTTGGTGAAGAGCACCCCCACTCCCCAGGCAGGACTCCTGGCCCAGTCCCTCCCTGCTCTCCTGGCCCTGGCGCTAAGCTGGGCCAGGTGGCAGCAGGCTTCCAGGTGCCTTTGGTGTTTTTGTCTCAGGCTGGAGTCCAGAGCTGGCCTGGCAGTTTAGGGTCGACCCCATTTTACAGCAGAGGATTTTGAAGCTCGGAGGGGATGTGGGTTTGCCCAAGACTGCACAGTCACGGGCCCAGGATGCTTCTACCATTCCACACATACTTGCCATTTGTACTCCCATGAGTAGCCTGACCATGTGTGGAGGGGCTGATCGTGCAATTTGTCATCCAGAGCGGGACGAGTTTGGGGCGAGACAACGTGGTTTACAATAGCGTGTCGTCACTGCCCTGGGCAAACAGGGACACCCACAACTCTGCCTGCAGGAGCTTACATTCAACTCTGGGGTCCCCATCCAATCTCTGTCACCTCCTCCCGACATTTCTTCTCCTCCTCCCCCTCCCTCCCCCCCTTCCCCCCCCCCCCCCCCCCCCCCCCCCCCCCCCCCCCCCCCCCCCCCCCGCTCTTTCCTCTCTGTCCGTTTTCTGAGTTATACAAATGGCGTGATGCCCACACGGGAGGGATTCTGGGAACAGGAAGCGCTCTCCTTCCCTCTGTTGCTCCCAGACCTGCTCCTCTCTTCCTGCAGTTCCCCCGCGGTGCCCATGGCAGCTCAGACCCAGCCTGGAGCCCTGGTGTGCACCTTTGCGGGCTTCCTCTGTGTGGGAGCCATCACAGCTAAGCCTCAGAACCTCAGTGTGCTATTGCTATCCAAGTTCTAAGGCTGAGGGGGATGGGCTCAGCAGGGACGGGCAGCCTGCAGGTGGCCTGAGGTCTGCACCTCTGTTTGTACACACAGAGGAGGTAGGGCAGCAGACCCACCTGTGTCCCACTGTCAACCCCTGGGCCTGCGGGCAGACCGGCCGGGGCAGGGGCCAGCACCCTGCCCCCTGCCCCTTCTGTTGTGGCTGTAGCTGGGAGCGGGAGAAGAGCCAGCACCTCACGCACAAGGCCAGGGCGGCGGAGAGGGACGAGGGACTGGCAGAGGCCGACGCGGACGAGGGCGGGTCCACGGAGCCGCACGAGGTGGCCCTGGCCAGAGAGGAGGTCAGCGTGCTTCTGGCTGAGCAGAGGAGAGCTGCGGCCCTCAAGGTGGGGGCAGGGGCTACCCGCGCACGGTGCACCCACTGCTTGCCTCCCGGGCCCCGTGACAGCAGTCCACCCAGAAGGGCCGGCCACAACTGTACTGTAGATGGAACCAGGCTCCACGGGCTGAGATTCACCACCCCAAGTCCCCAGGGGGCGGGGGGAGCAGTGCTGGATGTGACCTGGGCTGACCACAGAGCCCATGACCTCTGTCCACAGGGCCCTGGGACTCAGAGTGCAGGATGGGGGTGCCGCGGGGGCCGAGGGGCCGTGGGGGTCAGTGCACAGGATGGTGGTGCCGGGTGGGCAGAGGGGCCATGGGGGTCAGTGAGCAGGATGGGGGTGCCCAGGGGGACCGAGGGGCCACACGGCAGCTCGCCTGCCTATCTGCAGACACAGCCGCCACCTCTGCTGGGGAGGATAGAGCCCTCAGCCCCACGGGGTCCTGTGGGCAAGCTTCACACACTCTCTTTCGGCCTCTCACTCAGTTGTTCCTGAGTCGGTCCTAAGGCACGTGAAGGAGGGGGACAGGGGACACAGCCACAGGGAGCCCGGTTCCTCCTGGGGAAGGAAGGGCTAGCTGCTTACCTGAGCTGCTCATGCAGGAGCTGGTGCTCTCACGGTCCTGGCAGCAGACTGGCAGAGTCGGCACCACTGGGGAGCCGGAAGTGCCTGGCAGTCAGACGTCCACAGGCGGAGGAAGCACCAACGCCACCATGCGCTGAGGGCAGGTGGCACTCGTGTCCCTTCAGAGCAGTGCAGCCAGACCCACACATCCTCACGGGCCGTGTACGCCCAAGCAGACAGGAGGCTACGTGGTCTCACCTCGAAAGACCTCTGGTTTTAGGAGTAGGAGAAAGGCCTTTTGCTGAAGGCAGTGACATGCATCAGCAGAGAGCATGAGTACAGAGCTCAGAGGTGGATCCGGAGCTGCCACCTAGCATGGATTACAAGTCCATTCTTAGTGCGTTAATCAGTCGATTGAAGACAAATTGACATTTTAAGCGTCCAGTGCAGGGCCAGGCCTGAGGATGTAAACACAGGTAAGACCCTGTCTGTGACTGAAGCTGTCAGGCTGCCGGATTCTTCTCCACCCACCTGATGCCACAGTGCGTTGCAGGGCAGGGCAGTAACCAACCTGTGGACAGGCTGCAAGGGGCTCGGGGAGGGACTGCTGATGTAGCAGGGGCAGGGAGGACTCAGGCAGAAGAGGAGGACCATGCCAGGGAGCAGAGCCTAGTCCCCCAGTCGCCCCTCCCCATCCTGGAGAGGAAGATGTGAAAGGCTGGAGGAGCCCTTTGGTCTGTGCCAGGGGCCATCATCCCCCTGTGCCTGGGGCCGTGGTTCTGGGGGCGGGTGCGCGAGTCGGGGTTTCCCACAGAGGACACACGGCCAGTGGTGAGTCCTAGGGGGTGTTCTAAATGCGTGTGAGGCATGGCAGGGCCAGGACACCAGGAGACGACCACCATGGGAAAGGTAGTCTTCACTCACAGTCCCAAGAGGAGGGTTTCCACGGCATGGGCAGGGTGGGGGGGGGGGGGGAAGAGGGGAGAGGCAGGGGGGTGAGCAGGCTGAGGACTGGCCAGTCTGGGTAATTCCAGTGGGCTCAGGGCTTGGGGGCTGTCCTGGCTCTGGTCCCTGAGGGGTTAGGGCTGGGGGACAGAGGCCCAGAGTGTGAGGTGGGCGGGGCATGTGCTGAGGGTCGGTTGGTCTGCATTTGAGAAGTGTGCTCCTTGAGTGAGTGGTTTAGGATCCTCAGGAACTGGCTGACCAGGGGAGGGGCCGTCCCTCTAGGGACTGCAAGGGCCCAGGTGCAAAAGCACCAGGACATGGGGCCATGGCCACACGTCCTCAGGCCCGACAGGTCGCCTCGTGTTTCCCCGAGTTTGATCAGCCAAAGTGGAGCCCGCAGGAGCAAGCAGATGGGGGAGTGGAGCCCCCAGGCACCAGCCCTGAGCCCCCCGGGCCCTCCACCAGGCAGGGCTGGAGCAGCGTCTGGCCAACGCCAAGGAGAAGGCCTCACAGCTGGAGAAGCTGCTACCTGCAGGGGCAAGCAGCGAGGACCAGCGGGAGGTGGTGCGGCTGCTGTGCCGAGCGCATGAGCTAGAGGTGGAGAACACAGAACTGCAGGCTGACAGCTTATGCCGGCGGAGCCTGCTGTGCCAGAAGGACTTCGTGATCCAGCGCTACCACCAGCACCGGCTACTGTGCGAGCAGCTGCTCCGGGACCAGCGGCAGCTGATCGAGGGTGAGGCTGACTGGAGGCGCCCGGGAAGCATGCGTGGGGGGGCGGTGCTCGTGCTCAGGCCCCGGGCTCCCCCACAGGCCCCCCCCACACTGCGCCCTGTGACAACAGCCCACGCCCGCCCCCACACTCCCTGACCCCTGCAGGCGGTGGCCTCGCAGTGCCCGCGTCCCTGGACCAGCGGTACCATCTGCTCCTGCGGGAGCTGGGTGCCGGCTCGCTGAACCGCCTGCTGCTGCTGCACTCCGTCATGTCCAGCTCCCTGCGGGTGAGTCCCCTGGGGGCCTAGGCCAGTGCCCGCTGTCCCCTCTTGCCCACCCCGGCCCCACAAGGGCACTGACCCTGAGTCAGAAAAAGGATACTGGGGAAGCCCCCTGCACCAGGCCCAAGAGCCAGCAGCGCTGGATGGGCAGAGCCGGTGGCCGGGGTGCGGGGTATGGGGAGGTGGCCCCCACTGGACCCTGGCCTCTTCACCGGCAGGCCTGTGACCCTGGGCTGCTGCAGACCCTGTGCGGGAGACAGGGCGCTGATGGGGAGGAGCCTGAGTGTGGGGTGGACCTCGGTGCCACGGTGACCCAGGGAGCAGTGTGGTTTTAGGTGTCTCCTGCATGCCAGATGTCATCTGGGGCCTGTGTGGGGACTCCCTGGGGAAGAGGCCTTGGGGAGGGAGCTCTGCATTCCTTCGTCACATGAATCCTGTTTCCCCAGCTCTCCCCCAGCCCTGAGCAAGGAGGGCCCCTCGGCTTCACCTTTTCAGGAGAGAACCGGAGAGCCCCCCGGCTTGGGGCAGAGTGGGCGAGGGGCAGGAGCCCACACGTGTGGTGTGGGGAGGGCCCCAGGGATCCGACTGCATATAAAGCTTCCCACCCCTGATTAGAGGTCCCAGATACCCACATGGTCTGTGCCAAGGGCTCCTCACTTCCCTGGCTCTGCCAGCTCGGTCCCCACGCAGCCGTCTGGTTCCCCGCCCTCACTACTGCAGTGGGACCTCCTCCCCACTTTCCCGCCCGTTCTGTAGTACAGGTCAGCGTCCCCAGGACCACCTGCAGGTTCCCTTCTCGAGGACTCCCAGAGCTCAGAAAAGGTGTTACCCAAAACTGGAACTGTGTCCCCGTTAAACCCTCCTCCCGCAGCCCACTGTCTTCTCTGTCTCCTTGTCCTTTGTGCCTGGCTTACTTCACTGAGCACAGTGCCCTCGTCCATCCTTGCTGGAGCAAGTGTCAGGATGTGTGTCCTTTATGAGGCTGAGTGGCTGGAGCTCACTGTGTTTATCCAATTGTGGGCTGATGGATTGGGTGCTTAAACCTCCTGGCTCTTGTGAACGACGCTGCCGTGAACATGGTTGTCAGGGAATCTGCTCGCAGTCGTTGGGGTGGATAAGTGGGATTTCTGGGTCACAGGGGGACTCATTGTGTCTCCTTGAGAGCCTGTGGACTTTTGAGAGCGCTCGGGCAGACGTCTGCCTCATGGACCATTTTTGCTCCAGGGTCAAGGCTGTGCCCTGGTGGTCCCTGGTGCTCGCCCTTGCCCAGAGCCTGCTCTCTGTGTCTGTGCTGGGGAGACCTGGCCAGAAGGGAGCTAGGGCTCCCTGCTGGGTGGCTTCCTCCCATCGAGGGTGGTCAGCAGGAAAGGGCCCTCTCTGGGGCCCCTCAGGGATCTCCACTTGACGACATGGCTTGCCTGTGTCCAGGGTCCGTGCCGCCTCCCCAGCTCCCTGTCTCTTCCCAGGATGGCTCGGTTCTGAGTAAGTCCCCTGTGCCGCCAGAGGAGGCTAGCCGGGACTGGCCAGACGACAGGCAGGACCTCCCATGGGGCGCCCAGTTTGAGCTGCCACCGATGCTGCTGGAGGCGGACAGGTACCCAACTTTTTCCTCTCCCAGCCCGCATCGCTGCGCCCCTCCCCCTGGGCCGGGCCATGGAGTGTGACAGGAGGGGGGAGGGCGTGTCTGGCCCAGGGTCGTGGCCCGGCGTCAGCACAGTGTCTGTCGAAGTCCCTTCCCTGTGGGGTTGGGACGAATCAGTGCATCCTGGGAGGTGCTTGCCGGGAGGGTGCTGGAAAGGCCGTTTCCACTTCACACGCAGTGTCAGCCTCCTCGCCTCTGTTTACCTGTTGCTCCTGCGTCTTCCAGCCCCCAAGACAGACTCCCAGACTCTCCTGGTGATAATGCTCAGTGTCTTGTGGGTGCGCATCATGGCTGATGCAGCTCGGGCTGCGTCCTGGCCTGCAGACAGCCACCCCCTTGCTGTGTGCTCACGTGGTGGAGCCCCCGCCCCCATAAGGACACAGCCCTGCCGTCTGGGCCCTGCACGCGGATCCCCTTTAGCCGGTATCAGCTCCCGGAGCCCATACTCCAGACCCAGTAACGCCAGGGGTGAGGGCTTCCACATGGGGACTTGGGGAGGACACATCCACCGTCACAAACTTTGTGACAGGTCCCCGCCCAAATGTCATATGCAGTTTGAAATCTGGGACACCTCCCTCCATAAGCACCCTCCCTGGAGGAATGACTGCTACTTCCTACCTAGAGTTGAATTTCTCCAGTTTTGCCCCAAATACCTTTGCAGCAGGTTTGTCTAAATTGGGAGCAGTGAAGGCCCAGATGCTGCATGTGGCTGTAACACAGGCTTAACCTGTGCCCTTTGGGGTAAGGAAGACAGCGGGGCTCCAGCCTGGGTGCGTGCATGCCTGTCTCTGTGTGTGTGTGTGCACACGGGTACATTTGTACACTCACACAGGTGTGCCTGTGTGTCTTATGTGTGCAGTACATATGTACATGTGAGTTTATGCGGGTGCATGTGTGCAAGTGTGTGCATGGACCTATACACCTGTGTGAGTTTTGTGTGGGTGTATGTGTACGTGTGTGTGCATGTATGTATGTACCTGTGTGAGTTTTGTGTGGGTGCACGTGTGTGCATGTTTGCGCCTGTGTGCGTGTGTACAAAGCCCCCCTCCACCACCACCACCCCCATCAGGACTAGACGCCCCTGGGCACCCCTGCCTGGACCTGCTGCTCAGCGCCCTGATGAGGGAAGGCAGGTGTCAACCCCTCTGAGATGGAGGTCACTGTAGGTCGGTTGCAAAGGGAGCCTGGGGCCCCCCACCTCCAATCCTCAGCCTAGAGGGGAGGGGACTGTGCCTCGCCTCGTGCTGGCCCACTCCTGTAGCTGCAGCCCGGACTGGTGGGACAGAGGGGCCATGCTGCCTGTAGGCCGTGAGCTGGAGCGCTGGCACCATGCTGCAGACAGCCCGAAGCTGTGTCCCTGCAGACGGCCAGGCCAGCGCCCCCCACGGCCTCACCTCTGGCACCCGAGCCAGGCTCACGGCAATCGGTGAGGCCCAGCGCATGTGCCCTACCAGGGTGGAGGCCCGCATGGGCAGTTGGCGGCCCGCCCTCACATCAGACTGAGCAGGGATTGATAGCTGGCTGTGCCAGCCACCCACGCCATGGTCCTGGTCAAGTGGCCAGCTGCCCTGAGCCTCAGGTGCCCCATATCTAGGCGGGGTAGATAGTACCTCCCTGCAGGGCTGCACGTGTCCGGCGCAGTGGGGACACAGTAGACAGAGCTGCCCTTATGGTGACGACCAAATGCGAGGCCTCTCACATCAGCAGGACCCAGTACGGGAGTTAGGCTTCCCCCTGTATCTCTTCTACTTCCCGGTTGCCGTTGGTCCTGACTCAGACTGCTTTCGGCTGCAAGTAACAGAATTCTCAGTGACATTGATCCAGTGTAAACAGGCGTGTGTCACCTGACGAGAGTTTGGAAGATGAGTGGACTTGGGGCCTTTATTTAAATGACTTGATGAGGCCCGTTTCCCTGGCATGTAAATGATTGTCTCCCCTTAGGGTCAAATAGGCTGCCACAGCTCCATAGATCACACCTTCATATAACCACACCTAAAGGAGGAAGGGAGGGAGAGCTGGCCTTTCTTTTTCATCTGGGAGAAAAGTCCCTTCCAGAAGCTTCCCCACTAGATGTCACTAAGTCAGTCGATCCCCTGATCTCTCCTGGGCCAGTTCCCCACAGAGAAGGGAAGGAGGACCCTAACGGGTATGGGCCAACCATGACCTGTGTCTTTGGGCTGGACACGTTGTTACACGGAGTAATGTGGGGGCTTATTACGCAGGTAGGAGGGGTGGCCGTTGGGGAGGTGAGCAGAGTATTGGCCTGACCTCACCACGTACTCACTGAGCATTTGTGCAGGGAGAGATCATGACAGACATGGTCCCTACCCTACAGGGGCAGGTGGGGAGAGGGTACACACGGCTCCCTGACCCCAGGGGGATTCTCATGGCGGCGTGCCAAGTCTGGAGCTAGCGTTGGCAGGCATGCCTGCCCAAGCCAGACATGGCCTCAGCAGCAGGGCCCTGCTGCTCCGGTCTTGTTCCATGGGGTCCAGTGCCTTGCCTGGGGTTCCCTGGGAGGAAGTAAGGGCGCGGGAGTGCAGACCCAGTGTTTGCCGTTGGCTTGGACTCCTGGCCACGGTGCCAGGCAGCCTGCACCCTGCTCACAGCACCCCAGTGCCCTCGCTGGTTCATGCAGTGCTTAAACACAGCTCAGGTCGTCACCGTTCTGATCTCACCAATGAGACAGCAGAGGTCAGGAGCCCGAGGCCCCGCGTCAGGGAGCCTGGGTTTGACGAGTGATGCCCTGTTCTTACACAGATGACCTGACTCGACGGAGGGCTAGGAAACCCTGTTCTTTCACAGTAGACCCAGTAGGACCAGGGAAAATTCTGGCTGGAAGATTGTCTGAGGTCCCTTCCCCTTCCAACAGCCAACGTCTTCCACGCAAGGTCCTGGGCCAACTCCCATGTCTCTGTTCCACCCTCCTTTTGCTGGGACCCGGATGTGCCAAGCCAGCCCCTGCCCCAGGGCCTTTGCCCATGCTGTTCCCCTGCCTGGCAAGGTCTTCTGCAAGCACTCGGCATAGCTCTTTCATCACCATTCTTTGGGCCTTGGCTTAGATGTTTTCTCCTGTTCTGTTTCTACCACAGTCAATCTAATGGCAGCTGGGTGTGCTGCGGTTCAGTTCTGGCACAATCACATAGTGTCGGCATCAGACCCCACCAGTTAGGGCCTCCATCCCCAACAAGATTGTTCCCGTATCAGAAGCCACCTGCAGGTGGAGTCCCTGGACCACCTGCCCCTCTGTCCAGCTGACCACACCTTCAGGGGGTCCTGGGCCCCTCAGGTGTGACAAGGACCCAGAGCTCATGCTCCCAGCATGGCCTGACCTTGGCAGGGTGCAGACGCCACTTACCCTGGCCCGACGTAGGCTGCGGCATCCTGGGGTTCAGTCTCAGCCTTCCTGGGCTGGAAGAAGGGCCAAGAGGCCCTGGCAGCTGGCTCAGCTGCTGCCCCTCTGTGTCCCCCACAGCGGTGGCTACAAGTCGTCACAAGCCACACCATCAAAAACACTGGCAAAGCAGGATTCCCTTCTCCCTCCGTCATCCCTCCACATCCTGCTGACCCCTCCAGCTCATGAGGTAGGCGCACGGCTGGGCTCCCAGGAGGCCTTCCTGCCCCCACAGAGCCATGGGGGGTGGGGGCACAGCTGTCAGGAATCTCTTGGCCGGTGGGGGGGAGGACTTGGGGAAAAAGGGAGGCTGTGACTATTCACACGCTGGTAATTGGGGCTTTTCCTACGAACTGTCCTTAAGAAGCTGCCAGTCTCACGATTACCAGTAATAGCTTGAGTGGTCGTACTCTGGGTCACTGCCCCACAGGAAGTTCAGGTCCGCAGGAGAAGCCCTGTCCGTGACTAGGAATGGCTCCTAAGTACCCATGGGTGGGGCGACACACTCCTCCAGGGTGTCTGGGCCCAGGGACTGGCTTCACTCCCCTTCCTGGGCCGTCCTCCCACAGCCAGAAACCTTCTCCCCACAAGTGAACCTCTTGCTCGAGTCACTGACTCTGAGTCTGCTTCTGGGGACCCAGCCTGGGGCAGGCCAACAGGGTGGCCCAGTGACGTCTGACCATCCACTGACGCTGGTCTCCCGCAGCACTTGAGCCCCCTGAGTGTGAAGAGTTTGGTTTCCAAGCTGGGCCCCCCCGCTGGCCTGGACCTGGGTGCCTCGCGGATGGCAGCGGAGGCCGGCAGCCAGGCCCTGAGCAATCAGGCCCTTGAGGAGATGGCCGCGAGCACCAAGGGTATTGCTCTGATCGCGGCCACCCGGCGCTCCAAGGTGCAGGACCATGAGGGTGGCGGCAGCCACCCCTCCCTCCACCTTCCCGAGGACATGGCCCTGGACTCCAGGGACCCGAGCCCTGCAGACGGGAGGTGGCCCCACACCAGCCTGGGCCGGGACCATTCTGCGGAGAGGAAGGCCAGGAGGAGGCGGTCACCCTCGCTCACCTGGAGTGTGCGGCCGGTGGGTAGACGTGGCCAGCCTCCCAGCCCGGTTGCAGGGTCCGGCTGGGACGGTGGAGCAGGAGGGTGGCGGTGGACGCGGAGGGCCCTGGGTGCGGAGGAGGCACAGGGAGGACGCTTGCACCCCCCATCAGAAGTAGCATGCAGGCGCATGCAGATCACCTTCTGATCCCGTGTCCTTCTTTAACGTCCTTCCACGCTCCCAAGTGCCTTCATGGCATCTGGTTTTCACCTCGAGAGGGTGTCTTGCTTGGCTCTAACACGCATCAGCTTGGCCGTAACTGAGCCACCAATCGCTGTCCACCGTGAGGCGTCCCTCTCCCGCCGGAGCCCAGCCCCTGGCCTGGCGGCACGGCCCTCCTCCAACACCTGCCGGGACAGACTCCATACGCAGCCCTGTTTTAGGGCCACTTAGGTTGTTTGCTCCCTGTTCTGTGGCCAAGGGGTTGCCTTTAATTTCTGACCACTATCTGTGGTGTGTCGGCCCCCCTCTGTGGATAGCATTCCTCGTTTCCAGCTACTTTCTCGGGATATTGTGCGGTGCTGACCTGTGGGAAAGTCTCAACAAGCAAAATGCAGCACTCAGCAGAGGGCCACATGGACCCCACGGACCACACTGACCACACGGGCCTCTAATTGACCACATGGACCACAGTGACCACTCACTGACCACACTGACCACTTACTGACCACTCACTGGCCACACTGATCATACACTGACCGCTCACTGGCCACACTGATCATGCACTGACCACACTGACCGCTCACTAACCACGCTGACCGCTCACTGACCACACTGACCGCAGTGCTGTGAAGGTCTGTGTGCACGGGGGAGTGGATGTGGCACAGGCTCTGGTCCGTGTGGAAACGGCGTGGCCTTCACGCGGTTTCCTTCTCATCATACACTTGGTTAAATGAACTGGAGGGAGCGAGCAGGCTTCTCTGGGCAAGCGGGTGCCTGGCCAGGGGCCTGGTAGGTCTCCTTTCGCCTCTGCCAGCCGCACAGTGGACATTTGCTGAGTCCAAAAAAAAACCACTGTGGCCAAAGCTCAGTGGGGTTAGAGGCAGGACACACAGGGCTCAGAGGGGAGGGTGTCAGTCAGGGCTCTCCAGACAAACAGAACCGATAGAATGGTGTATGTGCAACACAGGCACACATGCGCTCACACTCACACACTCACACACAGAAGGGTTTATTGCAATCGGTTCACGTAATTTATGGAAGCTGACAAATCCCAGAGCCGTGGTTGGCAGACCCACTTAAGTCTAGAGGCAGGAAAAATCCCGAAGTCCCAGTTCAAGGGTATCAGGCACAAGGAGCTCTCTTACTTACAGGAAGACAGCCTTTCTGTTCTATCCAGGCCTTCAACTGATTGGATAAGACCCACCCACACTGCAGAGGACAATCTGCTTACTTAGTCTTTCTATTTGTTTTTTTAAAATGTTCTTATAACTTATTTTTGAGAGTGAAAGACATAGAGCATGAGCAGGGGAGGGGCAGAGAGAGAAGGAAACAATCTGAAGCAGGCTCCAGGTTCTGAGCTGTCAGCACAGAGCCTGACGCGAGGCTTGAACTTACGAATCGTGAGATCATGAGCTGAGCTGAAGTTGGACACTTAACCAACAGAGCCACTCAGGCGCCCCACTCAGTCTCTGTTTTTAAATGCTGACCATTTAAACCCCTTCCATTGTGGGGGGGCACTGAGAGGGAAAGTGGTGGTGGAGGCAGGCAGCACCCAGGAGAGCATCACTCATTCATTCATTCATTCATTCATTCATTCATTCCTCTTGAGGCTGGAGGAGAATGTTAGTGGTGATTCTGCTTATGTTTGCTGAGAGACATGCACCTACAGCAAGTCAGCCACCCAGTAGGGGCTTAATCTGTTCACGGCTTCAGCTCAAAATGACCTTGACGTGTCGCTCTCCCCACCCCCCGCCACACCTTGTCCTACTGTGCGACTGTCCCTGCAGGTGACGGAGAACCCTCGGCCCCCATCCGTGGACCGTGTGGCTGAGAGCCAGCCACCCCCTGCGCCCTTCCCACTCACAAAGCCGCCGGGAAAGAGCTTCCTCCCCGCTCTCTGCACAGCCTCCAAGACAAAGCCCAGCCCCAGTCTCCATGCAGGTACAGAATCCAAAACGGAAAATAGCGCCCTGGGGTTCTGTCTGCGTCTCACAACCCTGCCCCTCCTGTCACAGGTGAGTCTTTGGAAAGCGGGACAGCTTGGGCTATTGTCACTTGTCCGCTCCTGGGTGTGAGTTTCAGGTGTTCAGGGAGGCGAGTGGGTGGGCAGGGCCACTGTCCTTGTGGAAAGAAACCCTCACAGAGGCATTCAGTTTTGCTTCTGCCTGCCTGACGCCCCAGCAGAGTTCAAAATGATGTTTAAAGTTACGGCCAGCACCGCTGCTCAGTCTATCCCCATCCGGGTTTGAATCCCGGCTTCCTTGGCCATTGTCCCAGGACCAGTGACATAGGCTTATGGTGACAAGTTAGGGATGCAGGATTGTCAGTGGGAGAAACATACTTGTCCTCTGCCCAGTCTGGAGGCAGCCACTCAGCGGCGTGGGCACCTCTGCCCCTGTCCCTGCCATGGGGCCGTGCTGCCGGTGTGTCACAGCTGTGAGCGTAGAGGGAGCCGCCCATGCTCCTGGAGTGGCGCCCGCAGACTGGCCCCAACCTGCAGCAAGATGAATACGGATGTGGAGACCAAGCTATCAGAAGGGCGGGCGGCAGCTGGGCCGGACCGCCACTTGTGACAAAGAGCTTACATTCTGTCTTCTTCAAATCGTCCATCAGTCTTTCCAGTGATTCATCTTCATTATATTTGCAAAAGTATAAGTCCAATATAGGCTGGAAAAAAACCCAGACAAGCTAGTGAGTGCTCACCATGGGTGGTCCCGAGCACGGATGGCCTGGCCATTGACCATGTCATTAGAGCTTGCGGCTACGGGGCACCTGCGTACGTGAGGCACCTCACAAGTGTCAGCTCACTTGACCTCACAACAGCTATCTAAGTAAGGAACGGCCGCTGTGCCCACTGTACAGATGAGGAAACTGAGGTATAGGGGTGCAGGAGCTCTCCCGAGGTCATATGGCTGGGAGTGGCAGGCCGGGCCCCAGCTCCTACCCACACCCGCATGCCTTCTGGTAGAGTGGTCCTTGTGGGTCCAACCCGAGTGCTTTCTAGGGCCCTTGCTGTCTGCGTCGGGGACCATGGAGGCAGCATCGTGCCTGGCCACGCCCTGCCTTGCTGGTGGGTATGCACCTGGGCCCAGACCGATTCCTATTCATCCTCTCAAACTTTTCAGAAACCTCTGATCTTGAGGACAAAGCTCAGATTCCCCTTCAATTTCTCAGTTCAGCTCCTGTAACTGCCGGGGACAACGTAGACTGGTGATAACACTTAAAAATTTTAAAAACACTTAAAAAAACACTTGAAGTGTTCTTTATCCATATGGGATTTGCCACCTTCAAAAGATTTTATTTACTCATCTTCCCGTCTGCAGGTGTGTAAAGCAAGAACACAACCCTAGAGAACACAGTGGCGCTGGGCGTGGGAGCTTTGAGATGCAGGGCTGGGCCTGTGCCCACTGCTCTCCTCTCGGTGGGCGGGCGGGCACCCTGGATGCCAGTCACCAGGCCCTCACTCGGGGAGGTGCCATGCTGGCACCTGCCTGGGGGGTAACAGGGGTGGAGGCGCCGGGTGGTTCGGGGGCAGGCCCCACCACGACCACCTAGCCGGGAGCGCCCAGCTCCTGTGACCACCCATTCCCTGGAGATAAGCCCCTCGTAATGTGTCTCCGCAGATGGTTGGGAAAGGAGTATACTTGCCACGCCGCTGCATCATAAACTTGCCCATACGGCAACATGGGGCAGGAACGCTTCACACCCGGCTCCTCTTGGCCCTCTGCCCATTCTGTCTGCGCTCTCTCGATGCATTTCCGTTCTTCCCTTTGTTACTTGCTCCCCTGGAGAGGACTCGGGAGGGCCCCAAATCATGTCATTTCAGCCATGAATCTTTCAAGAGCTTTCTCTGTGTGATGGCAGAGTGTTCCTTGCCCATCATGGTAAAGAAAGTTCAGTGTGGTTCCCTAGAACCATCTAGCACCCGGGCTATGCACTAAAGAAACCAGCCTTTTTCAAATAGAAGTGAGTACGCTGTACCTGGTTCTCTCAGTTTGTGAGAAAGGGGCACCGCCGGAGCCCCTGGGTTACGGGAAGGTGCTGGCCCTGGTTTGTGTGTCCCTGAGCAAAGGCCAGCCTTCTCTCAGCTGTGTCTACAAGAGCCCTGAGAGGCGCACTGTGTCTCCTCTGTACCCACGTGTTTCTGATGTGGGCGAGGCAGAGCCTATTAGCATTGATGGTCCTTCCAGACCTGCAGCCCTACTGCTTCAGATGGGTAAACTGAGCACAAGTGACATCTCAAGGGCCTGCGGCCAGGGCCAGCGCCCCCCAGGCCCCTCCCACTGCACCCAGCTGCCTGTGCTCGGAGAAGGAACGCGTTTGTCCACGGCAGGAGGCCCTGCGGGTAGCTGGGGTAGGCCAGGGGACCCATTTCTCTGGCAGGGGCCATGCAGGTTTGTGCAGGGAGTCTCAGGATCACCTCCTGCCCTGTGCACCCCCCCGGGGCCCAGAGACACCCACGGTTTTCAAGTGATCGCCGACTCACGGTTTAGGGCAGTGCTGTTGCTGGTGCTGCCCCGGGCTGACCGTGGATGGACGTCAGGAAGCAGAGGACGTGCTGCCTCAGTTATCAGTCGAAGCAACCCTGTCAGATCAGTGCCCATGTCTCAGAGTGACAGAGCAGGGGCGGAGCTCGCCGGCCACT